GTCACCCTGTGTGTGCGGACTGAAAAGCTGTCGTCCTAGTCTCCATCAACAGCCTGTCCCTCACTGAGGCTCAGGGGGAGACAGACAGCCGCAGCAGGCTCATGTTGTCCGGGGCTTGTTGTGTCGAGGCCTGTGATTTTCTGCCTCGTTTCACCTCACACGACGCTCGCTCCATATTGAGTGAATTTCAGACATTCCGCTGAGGAGTTAAAAATACACCAGCCTCCCGGTAACTATTAGGAAATCATCCCTTCACCGTAACTCGGACCACACGAAGCGCAACTTGGGAACCTCCTGTTTGTAGAAAGGCCTTTCATGTGATCCACATCTGATTCCCGTATTTACACCGGAACTCTTGTTTCTGACGTTTGAAACCAGCTGCATCCATCCGTCAGAGGACAACAGCTACGTCACCAGGCACAGTCGGCTGTCAAAGCCAAACCAACATTCGCAGAAAATGAGAACAAGTTGTCGACTGATGGACACACTGGTTGTTGTGTTGAATTGGTGACCCGTTGACCTCCAGACGCCGCTGCCGTTCCCCTTCGATGTCTCGTGAGGAGGCTTTCGCCAGCAGCAGCTCAGGATTCACATTCTGTGAGAGAGTCGGGAGCGAGTGGTGTGGGCTCCTCACGTTGCACTTCACGAGATATTCTCCAATGACTCGTGCCTTTCTTCTCCTCGCCTTTATTTATGCAGGTTGTGCTGAGCAGGCATGCCCTCGTCCCTGCGTCTGCCGGCTCATAAAGTTTCACGGCATCACAGCCAGGAGCCTATCGATAAAAAAAAAACTCCCACTCACGGAACCACAGGTGCTCCCCTGGCGCAGAGTATTTTGCTCGAGGGTACTAGTGACAGTCGGTGTCGAGAGAAGGGTAAATTATGGTTTTTCGCTTCTTCTAACGAAAGCTTTCCAGGCAGACTGGGGGTTTAAAGGGGTCAATGGATGCAGCGCGTGTGCTTTCCGAGGCCATATAGTTGAGCGTTTATACCGTTTTGACAAGTCTGATGACAAAGGCCAGCGATTCATTGATTACTTTGCCGCCTGCTGAGATTGCCGGTCTCTTCAAATCTGTGCACAGGTAATTAGACAAGTTTAAAACTAAAGAGAGTCAATTAAATGGATATGGAGATCACAAAAGGGGAAAATGAAGCAGACATGAGCCTGCCCTTCGCTGCAAACTAATATTCTCCCAAAGCACCTCACGTCTACGGCTTAGTTCCTGCTCGGCCGAGTAGCCACAAGAGACCTCCTTCAAAGGGGCGTTACTGATGTTGCAACATCACTTTGGTTCATAAATCAAGCATTAGATGAAAATAAAAAGAATTCTGAGGGGAAATATATTTCCATTTGTAAGGCAACAATTTGATTTTTTGTATGGGAACATCATTGAAAAGGACACCAGGGGGCCAAAAGCAGACCATAGAAATTTAAAGTCACAACAAGAAAGTCTTCAATAGAGAAGGAATGAAAAAACAGCATAACAGCGTCGTACTGAATATACACCGTAGATCCTACGACCCTAAAAGCGTTTCTGCAATGTTGGACGGATCTACAAAGTGCACTTGTGTACTGATCAAATCATTTACAGCATATACTGTTTGCAGGGTGTGGGAATGTGCATGTCGGATTCTGGAAATAAATTGATTTGAAATGGACAGAAAAGCAGAATGTTCATCCAACTTTTTGAGAAATATGTAGTTTTAAGGGTGATGCAGCAATAAAGAGCACCGTTGCGACAGACACTTTCTACAGCTTTTTGGCAGCTTGGCCTCTGAATGAAGCGTCGAAGGGTGTATGTTGCAGCGTGGAGGAGATCGTCTCCACTTTTATTGCTATTGGCAGAATTCATAGACTAAATAATAGTTGTGTGATGGAATCGGTGCTGCCTTAAACACGGTACAATAAATGGGGGCGGTCATGGTCATTCATGCTGGCAATTATCTGCCTCTTTAAGGCTAAAAAATAAAAAATAAGTGAAACCCAAAGCAAAGGAATTATGAACTTTGGAAAGACACTGACCGCGTTGCATCGATCCAAGATTTAAAACCACTCTAGTGTGTCTGTCTTGTTACACTGAACATTGATGCAACCTCTCCCGCTACAGGAGCACATGTTCACCTCAAAAGGCACACATTTCCAGCCAGAAGAATCTTCAAGTTAAAGGTTTTCCATAAATGAGGAGACAAAACCGCGCCGTATATATTATAGATTTCACGTGAATAATATTACCTGAGAAAAACTCATCAATAAAAGCATCTGAAACAAATTATGGAGGTAACTCCATACAGCGTGGCTCCTCTCCTCTGGCCCGTCCCAGAGCCCCGAGGCTCGAGGGCCACGTCGTAAAAAAAAGAAACACTTACGCCCCGACATGACTCAAGTTTGGGAGTATTCACATTCATGCAATCTGAAGCTTCTTGAGCCAGGAGACTTTTAGCGTTGACTGTTAGCTTAGCATAAAGACTGGACACAGGGGGGGGGAACATTTGCCTGGTTCGGTTCAAAGGGACCAGAATCCTTCTGCGGGACCTCTGCATCTCTCTGGTTGATGGATTACATATTTCTTCTGCATAAATGTGTGTGTCATAAAAGTGTTTTGAGGGTGCTCGGTCTTTATTTCGTAGCTAAAATTCAAATTACTCGGCCGATCACGAAAATCGGCAAGCCTTGTTAAAATTCAAACACGTCTCTGAAACCACCGAATAAGAACAACTCCTGCATAGATTTTTGTGGCACGGGCCAAAGGAAACATTCTGATCCTGGCAGGATGAAACCTGCTCGTTTGCTTCCAAAATGTCGGTCCACGCTTCACTGAGATGCCTCATAGTCTCCACTCAGCCTCACAAAAAGTTCACCCTTTCAAAGCGAATCCGCACACGACTGGCTCCGTGCGCCGACGCGGCAGATATGAGCGCTGATTGGCGCTCTGATGCACGGTCGTTGTTCCAGAGAGATTCCACATGAGCGTGAAGACAAAAGCGGGGTCAGTGAGACACGACGGGAGTGTGACGGTGGGGGGGGGGGCGGCATCTATCTGCGGCTTTGCGGGGCAGAAGAGCTGGCCTCTCTCTGACCAACACGTGGATGTGAGGAGAAGCCCAGTGTACCGTTTTCAGCTCACGTTATCTTAAGGAAAGCCTCAGGACCTGTGACTCGTTTGGAGGTTAGGGGCTCAATCCAAGCGCCCAAGAAGATTACGACGAGCAGGAACGTCACCGATGTGCTTTCAATCATTTCCTAAAAGAAGTCTGCATATTTGGAGGCGGCGAAAAGACGACTATGCATGTAGCGAAGAAATAAACACCTGCTGCTTTGTGAGCGGCCACAGAAAATTGAACTTCTGTCTCTCATGAAGTCCAATAATAAGTCCTCTTTGGGAGGTAGAAGACACGGAGGAGTTGCAGTGCAAACCAAAACAAGCAGGTTGATTTTTCCATTTGATAAGAGCACAGTGGGAATTTTCCCTTACTTGAATATTTACAGTCCAGCGGCGTTTGCATGTGCAGGGGTCATGTTTTTCCGAGACGGGCGTGTGCATACGAAGGTCACACCTGGGTGAGATGCCTCTCAACAGATTGGGCACATTCCCACTGCACACTTCGGTTCACGTTGTGGTCAAAATAAAAATGGTGGCATGGAGATTCATGAAGGCTCCATCACGTCGTGTTGAAGCGGCTGGCCGGGGGGAATTTGGGAGACACGCGTGGTTCCCAGATGCTGTACCCTAATAAGTTGCTCCTCTGCCTTTTCTTATACCACCACCAATGTATCCATCCGTTTCTATACAACGCCGAAAAACATGAAGGTCTCATGTGAGGCTTTTCTTTCAGTTGACCAAGAAAGTGCTAAAAACGCTTTGTTTGAACCCTGTTAGATCCCAGCCACAAACCTTTGACGCTTTGTTTGCTCGCCACATGTTCTCTGGCGTGAACAGCAGACAGGACGCCCTTTGCCTCACAGGCTTGGAAATCGACTTGGAAATTCATCCGATGAATCGACCTCCGATCGAACCCCCGAAATCAGGCTGAGCGCTAAACGCCACGCCGGCGACCTCAGGTCCGAACTTTCACCGAGTTTTCATTTCCCCGACAGATTCTGTGTGGCGGTTGCTTTATTTTTTTCCCTCCATTTGGGTTTTATTGAAAGGCTGCACTCATTCTTAGCACAGCGGGATCACTTGTTAAAGAAACCTTTTGCCGTCGATGAGATCTCGTCGCTCTTTTAAAAGGCGTGGAATCAAATGCCGGCCAACAGCCCGTTACCTCTGCATCTGTCCAACATACGAACGTAAATGCGGAAGCGTCTATGCGCTGGGCCAAGAGCCCCACGAGGCCCGTGGTGAGAAACCCTCCCTTACAGCTCGTAACGCGCGTATGTCATTTGTCAGGGGGAAGTGTGTCATGCATATTTGGGAGTTTGAACACTGTCTGCTGCCGTGAGAACCACACAAAACTTCTGATTGTATTTCTTCACGGCCTGTCTCGGGGCTCCCGGGCCTGTGACGCTCGGCGGTCTCAGGCGTGGCGGGGCCCGGCCATCGAACACCGAGCAAACAAACAAGGCCGAGCTACTGCTTGGAGAGCCGCCCGGTTGACTTTGGATTTACCAGAGTAGCTCGGCCACAGTCCCGCACACCTGCTATCACTTTGTGTGGAATAACGGGTCGGGAAGTTAAAGGTGAGGAGGGCGGCGGGTGAACAAACGGTCACGTGTGCCGTTTAATGCAAAGTGGTTTCATTTGAGAAGTTTCGGCTTTCAATCGTGCCACATGTTGATTTGTCTGAAGCACTTCCTCTCTGAGGGAGACGCACGTGGGGGAGTCGGGGGGCAGCAGCTCCTTAAATGAACTTCCCCAAGGTGTCTCGTATTGAATCTAACGAGGTTGAGAGATTCAGGCGGACGTTTGGAGAAGGAACGCTGTCGAACAAACGTTTGGCCTCCAAACCATCAAGACGCTATGAAAGCCATCCATCGAGTCACAAAACACCCACATGGCTTGATGTAACTGTATTGCTTTAATGTTTTTTTTTTCTCCTTAGGAACAGGTTAGCCATGACAATATAATGAAAATGAAAAGCGCAAACAAAATCCGAGACCCTTTTGTACATTCATAGTATCACATTCATACAAGTCCCATCGGTACATCGGGGTCACAAGTCTCTTCTTTTTCACTGAAACAAGGTAACTTTTGACCCAAAGCCAAAAGGTAAAATGCAATTTTAGATTTTTTATTTTGTTCATTTTTTCTTTCTCTTCTCAAAATGACTAAAATTGCCACAAAGCTACTCGTTCGTAGTCGGTGTAGGTGCAACGTACCTCTCTGCTTTCAAAGAAGCGCACGTTCCTCCGTTTCTTTGACACTGACCATTAAAACTGCTAAGATTTATAGAAGAAATAAGAATAAATAAGAATAAATAAATCAGTGACTTTTTCGAGAGAGGACACCTTTGACAGTCTGACGGCGCTGCAGCTGTGGAGCTTCAGTGAAACGCGTCGAACAGCTTTGTTTACACGCTACCAAGTAGTTCGCGTTCGGCCCATTTCTGGAACATTGAGACGTCAGTAAAAAAAACCAAACAATTGATTTAAAGTCATCTGCAGCGGAAGGTCCCGCCGTGCAAACACAAGGGCCCCTCGTTCTCGGTTCCATGACCAACGACATGCGTTCTTATATCTGCTCCTAAAACTGACCGAAGTGTGGAAAGCGTGGAACACAAAGGTGGAGCGGCGGTTCAACCTAAAAAAAGACAAAATGCAGCATCAACTGTTTGAATCTTTGGCAAAATGATAAATGGAACTGTCATGGGTGCATACGGGCTGTTTTTCATATTGCATTTGAGGTTGGCTTCTGAACTTTTTCGTGCTTCCCTTTTTCTAAAATCAACATAATCTATCAGCTACAACGCATTTGCTTCTAAGAGCTCGTTCCTGCGGCGGAAATACACTCAAATGCTTCTGTCCATGCAAATCAGACGCTTCTATCTCATCCATGCCCTTCCTCGTTCTGAGAGAACGCAAACATGAAGAAAAACAAAACATGACGAGCCCAAAACAAACATGTACATGTACAAAGTAATGTACACCATATATTCAAACACGTCTCAAAATCGTCAGACTTTGAAATCTTTAGCCAAAATAAGTATATCTTTTTTTTCTCTCAACCCATTAGGTAATCTTCTTTACTGTACAATATATGTATATATGAGTAATCATGAGGGACCAAAGCAACAAAAATAAATACTTTTTCGCTATGTCACCTTTCAAAGTAGTATATCTATGTACATTTGTATCAATTTTCCTTAGCTTATTGTGAATGGTTGAGGACGTATTCAACAAGCAGGCATATTGCGCACAGTGTGGAAACTCCTTTTTTTCTACTTCTTTGCCCTTAAAAGGTATCTAAATGTAAATTTTGACGGAAGGAAAAACAAGGACCGAACAGTCCTCGATTCAGTGAAAGGTAACCCCGGCTCAAATGAACCAAACATAAAGAAAGTAAAAATATAGCATCTCGCCATCATGTGACTACTTCAGCAACGGGTTGTCTAATTATCCTCAGGACTCTGAGAAGAGTACAAAAATGTTGTCTATTTCATGCAGTCTTTGACAAGTCATACAACCTCAGTGGACTTGCCTGAAGGTTTTACAGTCATTTTTAGCACAGAGCATAGAATGTTTTCAGTGATGTTGGATGGAGCTATGATGGAGGGTGCAACATGCATAAAGAACAGTGCATAGGTCCAGCTGGTCGGGCCAGTCCCTGGTGATTTCCAGTGTGTTTTAATGGCAGCGTCTATCAACAGATCCACTACTGCAAGCGGTTGGCGACGGGCAAGTCGACGCGACGCTCTGGGGGAGAGGGCCCAAGCCTGAAGGAGCGGCGCCACCATGTGGCCGAACGGCCCTCCTCTCTCCGACTGCCATGCTATCAGGAGCTTAGTGATGGCAGGAATCCAACGGGCGAGTTTTGGAGGTGAGCGAGAGAGAGAGAGAGTGATGCGAGTGTGCATCGACACGCGGTGCGGTCCTTTAGCGTGGCTTTTCTATTTTTTTTTTTTTTTTTGAAAGTCTGGTTTGCTATGCGCAGTTAAAATCAGTCTTTGTTTTACTGCAGAGCCCTTTCCAACACACAACAGACCCGAGAAATGACCACTCCCAGGAGTTCACAATGATTTCTGTGGAAGGTGGAAGAACCAAGCTTACAGATCAAGCTAACATGCATAACGTCTTCAGACACTGTTTTGCTAAAAGCCATTAAGGCCAACTTTTTTCCTGAAGACAAATTCAAGAAGAAACTGTATTTCTTTTCTTTTTTTTTTCTTTTGTTGTTCGAGACTTCGTCTTTTGAAAAGAGGAAATAATAATGGCTTAATAGCTACGTCTTTCGTACAACTACCTTTGGTAAATCAATCAATTAAATCGACAAAGGAAAACCCTGAAACACACAGGGCCTTTCGTGTTCCTCGACTGAACTTTGCATTGTTCCTTCAGTCTTTAACTAGCCTTTATTCTAGCACAGGTTGCCCTGTTGGTACATTTCCTCCCTTCAACGGCCTCCACGTCTGTCACGTTCACAGTCCCACGGCACACTTCCACCGGAGCCACTCTGGATCCACACCAAATCCCTCAAGTAGAGACTCGTCCAAAAATGTCCAAAGTCGAGACAAACCAGCAAGGCAGAGAGAAAAGGGGAGAGAAGGGAAACAAACTAAGGGGAAACTAAAAAATAAATAAAAAGAACTTCATTTCCTGGCGGAAAAAAGATTTGAAAATGGCCTCTGCCATTCGGACGGCGTGGGCTTCACCGCCTCATCATTTTGGAGGCGAAGCTGACGATGGCGGAGGCGGGCTGATCGGGGTCCAGCTCAGCGAACAGGTGGCTGACATTGTCTGTTGTGCTTCCTTGCTTCCTCGCCACGAAGCCAAACAGCCTAGCGATGAAAAACATAAAATAAAAATATTTCTGATAGTCTACAATCACAATGACCTGAAATAATAAAGTTATATATCTATTTACGTGAGCTACAAACATACCTCACTGAGCCACCTCCTTCTTTCCCCCATCTGTTGGAAGAAAATAAATGTTTCTTTGTTGCGTTAAACGAAACAGTGAAAAAGTCGGGCGGGTCTTGAGGAGTTTCTTACTTTCTGTCCTGGGGGTCAGTGTCGCAGTAGGTCACCGTGTTGATGGGATAGTGTCGCCGGAAGAAAAGTCTGCAGCGCGAGGAATGAACGGCAAACACATCGTAGTTATTACGCGCATTTGTGCACTCGTTTTGATCTGATTTGTTGACGTGGTTGTGAATGAATCTTGAATCTTTGAGTCGATGCGGTTGCTGCAGGTGGCGACTCACTTCCTCTGACTGTCGGTGAGCGTGATGCCCTGCGTGGACACTTTGAAGTGCACGGTGGTCGCGACGGGCAGAGGGTTGGTGGCCAGCGTCTGACTGATCGCCTTGGCAATGGCCTGAGGCCCCGTGAGAGACTCCATGTCCACGGAGTTGATGTAGAGAACGTTGCACGCTAGAGGATAACAACACAAAGGCACTGTGAGAAGAATAGCAGAGGAGGACAGCGTGCATGCAGCTCAATGTGAGGGGAAGGAGATGCAGGGCCTACTGCGGAGACATTTGTGTGGTTGACTTTTTCATGCACTGGAGTGCTTGAATCCACAATATATTGACTGGGACTCTCAATTAATCCTGCTGCATGCAAATTTCAAATGTAATGTGACGGATTATTTTAAGGCGCTGATTAAAAATGGAGGATTAAGTTTATGAAGGCACTTGTTTGTGTGAGAGCAAGCTTCACCACATTCAGTCAGCGTGCACGATGGAGCGGAGCAATGCAGACGAGCATTTACCGTGGGCGTCCTCTGGGACCTTCTGAACTGTAAGGTAAGCGTGACAATGTGTGAAATCAATATATTCATCAATAAAAGTAGGTATAGAACTTCCGTTTTTCTGTTTTTCACAGATTGTTTAATTTCATTTTTGAATTAACTTGTGACCCTGTGAACAGGTGAATAGGTGAATTGAATTACAGTGGCGCTTACCTGCTCCCTGCTTCAGAAGTTCAACAACTGCATCGGTAGGAGTGACGAGCTCCAGCGCCTCTTCGTTTGGGTCTGTGAGTGACGGATCAGAATAGAGACGAGTAGAAAGGATCGTTTGTGTCAGACGTAGACAAACAGATGAACGCGATAAATTGCAGTGGCGTTGAGGTGGGTGAGAGGGGGCCGCTGACCTTTGGCGGGGATCATCAGCTTGCAGGGCAGAGCCAGCGGAGTCATCGAGTGCTGGTACACCAGAGCGGAAAGACAACCTACCAACAAAGAGACATTTTGTCACTTTGACGTCAGACGCTGAGCTGTAGAGCGAGGCGACAGACTCACCAAAGTAGGGTTCGTTGGGACAACCCTTCAGGCGGACGCCTTTGGGGCTCGTCTCAATCAGGAAGTGCCTCACCAGCTCGTTAGTCATGTCACCAACTGGAAAACATTTATAGATTGGAAAAAAACCCCTCAAATCTTAAATATTGTGTTTCAAATTAAAACCGTCATACTTGCTTTTCTTACCTTTTTTGTTCTGTTGGAGGGTTGGTGGCGGGCAGGCTACCTTCATGGCCAACCCGTAGGCTCCTCTGAAGGAATGGCTGTCCCTTATGACGAACGCGCCGGGCTCCCTGTCCTTCAACACGTTGATGGCTGAATGAGGGACAGACCAAAAGGGGCAGAACAAAAAGAGGAGGTCACGAAGGGGAGGAAGAGATGTTTCATGATCAATAAATTCAAAGCGCTGGTTGGTCCCCCACCCTGCTCTCTGGTGATGTCCGGCTTGTACCAGAACTTGGAGGTGTCCTGGACAAACTTGACGTTCATCTTGATGTCTGGATAACCGTCTGCGGAACAACGAGACAAGGACGTGAGAACTGGAGAGGACACAAACATTCCAGTGAGCCGGACTGCCGTGTCACGTGTCTTCATGTCACCGTATATGGACTTTGAGGCCTCGGGGAGTGTCTGCGTGCCGGACAGGTTCGGCGCGCTGACCCCGCTGGCCGGCGTCGGGTTCTTGATGTCCGTCCTCTCGGCGTCTCCGCTGGACATGTGCCTCTTCTCCGGCAGCTGCGGGGAGACGGGGAAGGCGGGCGTGGAGGGAGGTTGGGCGCTCCCTTGACGGGAAGCGGCTCCCAGCTCGTCCGGTGTGCTGTGGCCGCTCGCCGCCATCCGACGGCCCATCAGGGGGCTGGGGGGCACGCCGCCCGCCGCCGTCTTTGCGTTTCGGCCAATCAGAGGGCTGGAAGGGACGCCGGCCGGAGGAGGCATTCTGCCCAGCGAGGGGCTGGCTTGGCCCAGGCGTCTCTGCAGGGCGGGGCTCGGCGGCGTGTTGGTGGCCACTGTGCGGTGGAGGGTGTTGGGGCTCCCGGGGACGGTGTGGACGCCCATGATGTTGACCTGGGAGCCCTCGGGGGAGGCGGGTCTGTAGGGGTAGGAAGGGACGGGACTGTGCGGCGAAGAACCAATCCTCCTCCTGCACACAAGTGTTCTTTTTTCATCCGTGAACATTTACTACAGCGTCCCAATGCACAATAAACATCTGTCCATTCTGACTTTAATCTGAAATGAAGCTCATCTTCTCATGTCTAACTGTTGATTAGTCATTAAAGTTGCATTTTTTCCCACTCACCCATCAGCACTGTGGACGGGACTGCTAGAAGAGAGAGTGTTGAATGGTTGCGCTCTGAAATCCCCAAAACTGCGATTGTCTAAATATCACAAAGCATCACATGGACAAATACAGTCAATCTCAACTCAAGGGCCATTTAGTATTTGTTATTCAGAAACAAATGGGAGGCAGTTGGAACCGAACAAAAAGTTCCAGAAGAAACATTGTGAGGAGAGCGGGGATGCAGAACAATCGGGAAAGGAAACGCTTCCCAGTATAACGCCACAAAAATGTCGTTACCTTGCTCTCCATCGTTAGAATCAGAGTCTGACAGCAAGAAGAAGAGAAAGCCAGAGAAAAGGAGACGTGTGGAGGAGGAGGAGACAAGGAGGACATGTGTGAGCGCGCAGCGAAACTGGGTCTGTGTTAGCTGTTAGCATTTAGTGGAAGCATTTCCAGGAGTTATAAAGCTTCTTAATATTTTCCACTGGACCTTTCAGTCCTCTTAAGTAGCTTTAAGGATGTTACAAATCAACAAAAAGGAGGAATAAATGATATTTAATGCGTGTAAACTGACCTGATGCGCCAAGATGATGAGACTTCAGGCCCAGAGCTGACAGAGGAGTCTTTGTCCAACCTGGAGGGGAGCGAGCTGCAGGGGAAAAGAGAGATGTAATGGAAGTTAAACTATTAAACACAACCAATAAAGAGGACAATGAGATGATAATTGACCACACAAGCCATGCAAGGATGTAAAACAACCGATGTAAGGCATGAAAAAACACAATTCTTCACTTCACAATGCAACGGCGAATGGAAACGCGTTTAATGGCAGATGTTTGAGGTGCACTCGGTTGCACACAAGGCAGAATTAGAATAAAGTATCTTATTCCAAGTGGTCAACAAGCAACAAGATGTGCTTACTTCTCCAGGACACGGCGCAACTCTTTAACAAGTGGAACAATGGCATGAGAAAATTTAAGGTCATAGGCGATAGAAAACAGATCCCCATATGTACAGTCATTAATTGTGGCTCCGATTGCACAACACGTAGAATGTATGCATATGGTGGTGTGACCGCGGGAGTTAAAATTAGTAATCATGGTCCTGCAGCTGAATGAGTTGGAAGGATGAGCATTCATCCACAACACAAGTATCCAGTAATGAAAAGGCTTGTGCGTCGGATCGGAGTTAGATTGTGAACAGATGAGGATGAAGATGAGGTTGAAATATTGCTGCCACGTGAGGCAGAAGAGATACATGAAAGTCTGAAGAAAAACAAGAGTCATTTCCCAAAAAGATGCCGTCAGTGAGGAATCTAAACACTGAACTAATGGAAATAAATTGCATCTTTATAAAGACTAGATCCTTTAGATTCCGGTTCCTGGACATCCACCATTTTGGAAATGAACTCTTCACTTTCATTAATCCTCCACACACAATGGAAGCCGGGTCAATGGCATGAGTGGGATGCCTCACTTCGGGGGGCCTGGAGAGGGATGAGGGCGATATGAAGTCTCGTGCCACAGAGCAGATTCTTACTGCAACAGCTGTGTGCGTTCAGGACCGACTGCAAGAGAAGAACCCGCTGATCACTCTAGATGCTCCTCCGTCTGAGCCCCTGGACATATTTGTGATTTGGCTGGGCTCTTTTTCCACAAAACCCAACCGTGTCAGAATGTGGATTCAATGTTGTACGACACTCGCTGGACTTCAATTCAACTACAGTCCGTCTATCTGTTTGATTAACTATACACATCCGGGATGAACAGAGAAGAAAGGCGGTGCAAAAGATGCAAGAGAGCAAGTTGAGGGAGAATATGTAAATCATTCTCCTTCACAGTCTCGCCTCTTCTAGGTTCCCCTCGTAGTTTGCTTTTTCAAGAAAAGCGTAACAATGGAAACACTGCATGGGCTTGTTATTCAAAAATAAGATTTGCACACACCTGCTTTGCGTTCGGACCACAGACTTCTAGTTTTGCCTGAGATTTTCTTTTGAGGGTTGTCAAAACATTAATGTTCTTTAAATCTGTATGTCTCCAAAAATTAACTCAGACCCATCAAAACCTGCTGCTTTTCACCATATAATGAGTTTCGTTAACACACATTTTTGTAGTGTATCTCTGGCTAGTGATGAGAAATGAGCTGTCGCCCCATGACATGACTGAATGAGAAGGCCCGCCCTATTCAAAACACTATAAGGGACCTCCCTGCAGCATGTTTGTCTCCAGCGCCGCTCTGCACCTTCACTGTGCCGCAGGACTCACTCTCTCCATCTACACCACGAGACAGCAATGGAGCAAACCTCCCGCCGCATCCTGCTCCTGCTGAGCTTGTCCGCAACGTTTGCCAAGTACGTCTACATCAACGAGGGGAAGAGCTGGACCAACGCTCAGGGGTACTGCCGGGAGCATTACACGGACCTGGCGCCCGTCAGCCACGAGTACGACTTTAAGCGTGTTCAGTTGGTCCCCGGCACCACGGCCAAGTACTTGTGGATAGGACTGGTAAGGAACTCCACGGACCATGAGAAGTGGACGTGGTCAGGAGGAGGGCAGGTGTCCACATTTTTCTGGAATGAGAACCAGCCCGGTAATGGACCAGAAGACGGCCACGGCCAAATCCGTGACAACAAGTGGCACAATGCAATGGGGACGGATGAATCAACCTTCTTGTGCTACAAAGCAGTCGTGGTGAGGGTGAGGAAGACTTGGGAGGAAGCGCTGGAGCACTGCAGGGAGCATCACGGCGACCTCGCCAGCGTGGCGTCAGACACGGAGACGTTGCTCATGCGGAAGGAGCTGGGTAAGGACAAGACCACGGCGCGGGTGTGGACCGGTCTGCGTTTCCTCGCCGGTGACTGGCTGTGGGTGGACAGGCAGCCGCTGAGTTACGAGGCCTGGGGACCAGGGGGGAGGCCCGAGTGTCCCCAAGTCAGCCGGAAGTGCGGAGTCCTTCGGGTTACGGGAGGGGAGCAGATCGACAACGCCGCGGTGGAGCCAATGGGGAATTACAGTGACACAGGAAATGACGGAGAGTGGGAGGCTTTTGATTGTGCGGAGAGACTCCATTTTATCTGTTACTGAGGGACCTCATTTGTTTTAGTTACAACAAGATTGCATTTTTGACTGTTTATTTGAACGAGTGTGCTCTTACAACCACATATTTACTTAGTTTAAAGCAGATGGGTTCCTTTTCTCTTTTTGGTGTGATCGTGGGTTTTTGGGGTCGTATTCCAATAATTTTGTCTTTATGTTCAAATATTGTCCTAACAATATAAATTGTAAAAAAAAAGACAAATTCAAATAATAAATATTTTTTTTGTTGATCTCAATTGGTAATTCTGTCCTTTCTTTCTTTTCATACTTAATAATTTTTTGCATTCGTTTGAAATAAGACAAAAGTGAATAACGCATTGAGAAGGTTCGGGAGAGCTCTCTGTCTGCAGGCGGGGTGAACCTACACATGTTGAAGTAAGGAGTCTGTGGCGACACAGGGAAGCTGGGGGTCTGGGGGGAATTCTCACCACCACCTCCAAAGGCGGGAATGTTGTCAAACCCGTCCGCCTCGTCGTCCTCAAACGCCTCCCGGTAGCTGTGCATGAGACCCTGGAAGAGGTGACGAGGGGACAGGTGGGTCATGGGAAAGTTTGGTCAAAAAAGGAAATATACTTTTTGTTTGTTTTGTTTTATACTGACCTCTCTGGGTTGTCCTCCCGGGTTGAGGGCCAGATTGTGGGCAAAGTCCGATGAATCCGCCATCGCCGTGTTATCATGGCTGCTCTGGTACTGTCCCTCGCTGGTGGTCCGACGTCGACCCGTCTCCTGCGTCACTTCTGGGGTCATTCCTCTGGACCGAACCCCTGCGAAAAAACAAGGCAGACAGACAGAATATCAAGAAGTGAAGGGGGAAAGTAATGAAAGGTGATAAGAATCTGAATAAATGGTCGTGGTGGGTAGAAAGATTCTACCAATGATGGGAAAAATGACCCAAACCCAGAAAATAAAAGCGAGGGAAAGTGGACAAACCAGAGAAGGAAAAGGAGCGATGGCGGTCAGATTGTTGCGATGTCATGCTTTCACTGATGCCCCGAATACGAGCGTTGTACTCTGGCTCCCGGGAGAGGGAGGTGGAGGAGGAAGGTGGAGGAGGAAGGTGAGAGTGGTGCAGTGGTGGAAGCAAGTGGTAGGGTGGGTAGTCCATACAGCAGAGAGATGGATTGAACAGAAAAGCAGAAGAAATATAAGAACAAAAATGAAAGTAAAGAGAAAATGAAACGAAATCTGTCAAATGAGTCAAATCTGTGACCACAGTGCATTGACCAAATAATAGAGTTTCATAGTGTTGATGATTATTTCATGGTGAAGAGTTGTTTAAAATAAGATGATGTGCTCCACTGGATGGCGCCTTAGAGCATCCGCATGCTTCCCCATGAATGTAAATATGGATGTGGACAATGCATGGAAGCTGGATCCTCTAACGGCTCGGCTATTCTCATCCCATCGCCACTCTCAACAGCTCTGCTGCATTTCAGCTGAAGAGTTCATTTGATGACTACAGGTCATTCCTCTGATGACAAATCGGTAACAGAACCTACTGAAAGCTGCACCGTGTGAGACTAAAAGTGCCTGTAGCTGACGTTGACACTGAATTCCGTACGGTGTCCAATGGAGTCAGCTGTGTTCATCATCTTTGGATGCTCACATTCTACCCAGAACACAGAGATGATTTAAAATATAGTTGCATAATTGCTTTCCAAGCGTATTGAAGGACCTAGATCATTTTTAATTTCCATTAATGTCATAGTGCTAAAATAAGAGAATATACCTGAAATGAGACATGTTTTAGATTTGTAGCTAGCCAAAATGTACGCAACGTCTGGACCTATTGCTGTTAAAGGGACATCACTGTCACTCGCATCCTGCTCTTCATCCAACTGATCCCAGACAAAAACTAGTAGCCTTACCGGCGATGCGGTGAGCTACCAGCCCCTCCAAGTTAAGCTTCTGCTCCTCTGCCTCTTGTTCTCTGGGCAAGGATGAAGAAGACGTTTCTTTTGGCTGTGGGGTGAGTGCTTGGAGAGGAGAGGAAGAGGCACTGTAGCCAGGAAAAGGAGACGAGCCCTGCGGTTCCGGAGAGGTGGAAACCCTGCCTCCCAGGTAAGAGTTCACAGGCTTCACTGCCACCTGCTGGTTGAAAGTAGGGGAGGCATCTGTGGGGTGATGGTGTGCTGCTTGGCGTGTGTGCAAGAAGGGCTCCGGGGTTTGCGTTGGGGTGATGTTTTGGTGTTGGTAGCCTTCGTTGGACCTCTGGGGAGAATAGCCCGGGGACTCCATGAGGGGGCTCTGGTTGTGCACCGGTCTCCCAGTCGACCACAGGGGCTGATGAAAGGAGTTGCTGACGGACCCGGTGTTGTTGTAGCAGTGAATGGCAGAGTCTGCTTGGTAGGAAGGTCTTGCAAGGGTCTGCGAGAAGGGCGCCTGGGACAAACTGAGGCTGTCCTCGCCAGGAGGCGCACTGTGGGACTTTGACATGTGGGAGTTGATAGGGTCTAGGTCGAGCATGAGCATGTTGAGCGCCTCAATGGACTGCTCAATGTCCCGCTGCGAGGCTGAGGTGGGGAAGTGGGGCAGGCTATGGGTTGACTGAAGGGGAGGGCCAAAGGGATCATCTGGGAGGCTATATTGGTGCCAGGTGTTGAGACCTCTTTGAACAGCCTCGCGGCTACTGGTGCTCCTCTCTGGGGCCCGGGGCATCAGTTTAGGGTTGGCCTCAGGACTGCCATCTGGCGGATTCCCAAAAGACTGTGTATGGTAAATCCCCCCTCCGTTCTGGTAGTTGTTGTATCCCCCCTGTGGCGATGCAGAGTCCACAGACCTGTCTTGCAACGCCGTGGGCGTTTGTACTCCGTGGACGGGCATCTCGCTCAACTTTTCCCCGACAACAACTCTCTCAAGGTAGGGCCCGTCGTTCTGCCTGCTGGTGGCCGTCTGCGATTGGTAGTAGAGGTCAGCAGGCGTCGCCTGGCCCTCGAGGGATGAGAGCGTGCCCAAGCTGTCCACGCTGTTGCCCTCTTGGCTATTCGGCAGCTCGTCGTCTAAAATTTCCGTCTCACGCTCCTCTGATGAAGGGGCGGCAACAAGCCTGGTGTGGCCCCCGTTGACGTGCACCTGTGCTGGGACCAGGTGTCGAATACCTCCTCCCGGACTGGTGGACGTGGACAGGTAGGCTTGCCGTTGGTGGGTTTGTGCTTCGAGGCCACTGAGAAGCTGGTGGAGCTCTCTTTTCTCCTGCGGGCTCAGCGCTGGGTGGGCCGCTGTCGGGTTGTTGTGGTTCACCGCACCGTGCACGGACTGGCTGTGCTCATCGGTGCGATCGGTCTTGACGGACGCGGTGGAGTTGCCAGAGTCGCTGCTCACGGAGAGGGTGTGGTCGACGGCGGGGAGGGAGGCGTGGCCTGTCACGGGGAGGGTTCGGTCAGTGGTTTGGAGGGGGTGACTGGGGTGTTGTGACGGGTTTTCGGCATTGGTCAAGGGGTTTTCACGGACTGGGAGGCCGTTGATGGTGACAACTCCCTCCAGGGAGTCTTTCTTGCGGACCCGGGCATATAGGCTTCCATCAAGTGGCCCTTGGGTGTGAACAACATCTGAAAAAGATGGAAAGAGACTTATAGTAAAATCGTTGTAGTTCCATGTACACGGCCTCCACAACAATGGTGAGTAGAACATTTTTCTAGACGATTTGAAACATCTTGTCTTCGTAGCGAAATCCAGCAACACTGCCCTTCCAGCTCTATTAATAGCCAATTGGCTGTGCTAAAGCCCCTGTGCTGTTGCGTCAGTGCAGGCCCACATAGTGTGACGTGAGCTGGGTCGGCTCCTGTGCAACACACGGAAACAGCTGGTTCGTGCGAGCCAAAGAGGAGAGCTGAACGGCAGCTTTGAATGACCAAAGCTGAACTGGGGGTCTTTAAGTCTTCCGGCAGCTGAGTCATGCTGGCAAAGTCCAACTGTCATGTTGCCCAATCAAATCATCCACTGAATTGGTTCGCAGGCTAAATGAATGTGTTATTGCTACTTCTCGGCGAAATCAATTAATGCACCTTTTGTTTACAATAACAGAACCATCAATAGGACTTTTGAAAGTTTTTTTTGGTGAGTCAAAGTGCAACCGTGAAAGAAGAAGAAAGAAATACCACACTTTAAAAATTTTGAAGCAAATAAAATGCAGCACAACTAATGTCGCACATGTAACGAAAAAACAGAGGTCAGGTACGGCACTGTAATTCACGCACAACGGGTACTTCAATTACAGGCCGGGGAACCATTTCAAACTGTAAATCACTATACTTGCTTAGATGAAAACACTTGAGAAGGTAATACACCTGTACTGTTTTCCTGTATTCAGTATACATTTGCAAAGTGATACATGACCACGGCCGGCTCGTTCGTGGTGTATTCCAAAAGGAGCGACCCCCGGGGACAGATGGTGAATCACTCGGACCGCAGCTATTTCAAAACAACTCACGGTAGCAACAAGAAGGAGAGGACAGGCGAGGAAGTTGTAAACAGTTTTGTCCAGTGGTTTTTTTAATGATGATACAAGGATTAACATAGTGAGAGTAAACTGTGAGGTTTAGTGTTACGTTTTGTTTTAGTTTAGGTTTAATTTGTGAGGAAGTTGACTTAAGTTAAAACCTAATGAACAATATTTTGATACATAAGTTTTATTTAACCTCGAAAAAAGTGTCTTTCAGTTATATTTCTTTTTTGTCAGCACTGTCAGCTTCCATTAAATATATCCTGGACATCTGATATATTTATTTAAGATACTATGACTTTGAATTATGTCTCAATATTACAGTATCAAATTTAGTGGAAACATTTTCCTTACCTGTAATTTAGGTAAAACCTTGGAAAACTCTTCTCATTCTTCTGCCAATTATATTGCAATCACAAAGCTACATTTGAGTCCCTCTGTAGCCTCTCAGTCACGGAACTCAAGGAGCTTCCTGTCTCATACTCCCTGCCGTCTTCTCGTCCCCCCAAAATGTGCTTCTCTCCAGCGAGGAGGGGCCAACAACCACCAGAGCTGCCGAAAGGGGTGAGCTGGCGCTGTGATGATCCATGACAGTTCCGGGCAGCGGGGGAGGGGCTCTACCGCCGACAGCACCACATCTCAGCTTCATGTAAAGCCACGTAGTTCCACCCCCCGCCATCTGTTGGCCTTGCCCTTGCCTGGTGATGTCATCAGAGGGGATCCCCTCACACAGGGCCATCCCCATGCCCTCCCCTGTCTAGCAGGCTTTTGTTGCAGGAGAAGCTTTCACTGCAGGCCGTTTTAAAGAAACTTTAATGTAAATAATATTCGGTAAACTGTATTTACAATTTCCACCATGCTGAGTTTCGTCTGTCTTGCCCCCCCCCCCTCTCTTTCTCTGACCTTTAACAAAATAGACAATGGCCTTGTTCTCCTTCATAAAAGAGGATATTTTAGTGCTCTGTGACAACTCAAGTCGGCCAGGCTGACACTCTTTCCAGCTGTTGGTTGACCCCGCCCCAAGGTCAAATCAGGGAGGCACACACTGTTATTTCAAGTCAATTAAATCCAATAAAATAACCTTTCCAAATTTTCCACATTAAAATGGTTTCCAAGTTCACCATCTCCAAAAAAGTATCTTTGACCAATCAGTTTGAATCAGTTGCAAGAATTGTTATTTTGATCAATGAGTGGCTCGTTGGTAAAGTAGGAATGTCTCCAGAGTGATTGTGGCCAACTTAAAAACCTTCATGATTATCTTCTCTCTCGGAGACCTGCCACTTGGGTGGGATCCTCTTGACAAAGCAAAGGAACTGACTAAACAAGAGTTGCCAGGTAACCTTTACATTTCCCCACATTCTCATTGCAGGTGATAGTCGGCAGAAGCTCGTAACTACGATTAGGTAAGCTGGACTGGAGTTTAAAGAGTTCCCTCTCCGGCTGAGGTGACTAACAGAGCTCAAACCCACAGGGACCCAGTGTTTCATTTCAAACAACCATGAAAACAGCTCAGTAGCTCCTTTTAGAGCTATTGATTGTATGATGCAATCACCCATAAAGAGGATCAATGGTCTGCTTGAAAGTGCTACCAAAGTTGGAGATTGGAGCATTTCATTTTCCATAAGAACGGAGAGGAGGATTGTGTAAAATAATGCAGGTATGAACAAAGTAAGAACCAACAACATAGAATGGCTCTGCGTCACCTGCTGTCCATCTGAATAGAACAAACAGCTTTCTTCTGGTGTCAGTAAATAGCTGCAGCAGCCCCCCAGATGGGATGAGTCCCCGAGGCTCAGCCAACGCAAATAGCTTACAACTTGTTTCCTACTGCCTAGTGTAACATGCCATTCTCTCTGCTTCAAAGGACAAAGCCACATTTACCGCTACTCATTCATCAGCACTTTTACGCAGTGCTGAAAAGAAAAACTTGAATTTGAAACTTGAGTTGGAACAAAATTACAACAACATTTAGCATTTAAACTGTCTCCTTTCAACAATTGAGCACGATGGCCCCTTCCTCTCCCTCTGGCGCAGAAATGCGCTCGCACACAGGAACTCCCACTCACTGACACTTACACCTGTCCATTCTCCGTATGCTCTCATGCGACAGGTGCTCTCACAGACACACACTTGTCTGTATTCTCCTGAGTGCCTGATTGCCACGTTGCAGCCTTTGAGGCCATTAAAAAGCCATTTAAACATCTGCGGCTGATGGTTTATTATAAATAGACAGTGTGCAACAACCACTGTTATTGCTGTATGAAATGCACCAGCTGGAATGTGGTATACATGGTTAGTTCTTTTGAGATGAACAGGGCAGGGTGATTGAGGCGGCGCATTTGTCAACGCACCTATAAAGCAATGAGAACATGGCTTGTTGTAACTGAATGTGCTCCATGGACATATATAGCCTCCACTCTTGGTTTATAAACCTTTGTTTGTTTAGCACGGAATGTGGGAAGTCAGAAGTGGAACAAGAATCATTCCCCTCATGGAAGAAAAGCATAAACCACTTCTGGTTCCATTTATTAGAAAGTGACTTATTAATTATTTCCCTCTCTGTCAATGCACCCATCTGGCTGGAACGGCGATTGTAGAAAGTAAAAAGATCCTGAAATTCAAAGAGCGAATTCTGAAAGGATAACGGCCACCACCAAATATTCTCTGAGGTTTCGGTGCAGATTTTTTCCATGAATTCTGTGAATAGCAAGTGTTCAGGGCAGGTGGAAACTTAAAGACGAGCTCGATACTTCATGACCATCTAACATTCACACGCATCATTAAGTCGTCCCATGGTGGGTCTCTCACCCACTTAGGAAGGAGGTCTGCAATCATAGCTTTATTGCATATGGTGTGAGATTTCATGTGTGTTTATAAGTGCATTTATGCATGCCTACGCATAGAGACATTTACAATAAGAGCTATTTAGAGTGGAAGGTGGACCTGTGCCAGAAGGTTTATTTGCAGTTCAGAGAATTTCGGCATGTGAGCTCTGCAGTTATTCACCTCTGACATAATTTTCATGAACAAGCAAAGAGTGTCTGTCTACAGTTTCAGAGCTTAAGAGCTTAAGATGGACATGTTATCTGGAAAAAAACTCAAAGGTAGCTTTGAAGATCTACAATGTAACTTTTCACTCGGTTGCAGACTCTATGTACAATTATTACCCCTCATCAGGTTTCTCTCCGCAGGATGTGACATTCACCCTCACAGTTTTCATATCACCGTGACGACGGCTAGTCTGCATGCCAGAGGTGGGTGACTGAGTTTGATTGACAGCTGACTGACTTTTTAAAAGATGTGTTGTGTGTGTGGGTGTGTGTGAGTGACAGATTGGAGATCCAAACACACCTTTATTTAGCCATTTGAACTGATTTGAGGTCAATGCTGCAGTTTGCATTGTAGAAATCTGCTCATTTACTAACTTTTAGTTCCAGAACAAAAGAATTGTGACATTCCATCATTGAAATAGGTGTCATGGTTAGTGTATCAGTGACTGGCACAAGGAAAATTGTTGCAGTTTTCCACTTTCCATGTCTGCCTCTAATCTGTCATCGAGTGTCCAGCTGCCACAGTTTAAGGTAACATGACGTGACTGCATTAGTGTCTGCCTCCCCGATTGCTTACAGGATGATGTCATCCATCCTCCTGTCTGTCATCTGAGTGTCTGTCATAAAAACAAATACATCTGACTGACAACCAGCTGAACTCCACGTATGACTCATGTTGACTCTTCTCACTCTGCGAGAGAGAAAATGTCAGGTGGAGAAGTTTGGGACATTCATTTGGGATTATTTAGATAAACCTGAATGAGTAGTAAGTGCAATTTTAGTTTGTTGTGGTGGTTATGTGCAAAGAAATTTTGCATCAAATGTGACGAAGTAAAGGGGAAAATGTAAAGAAGAAACTGCACAATTACACATATTAAACTAGAAGACAGCATTCAACCTCAAGGATACAAATACGTTTCTTTGTTTGTAAGAACATTCCATCGGGAACCTTTGAATTCAACCACCATGCTGCTGCCAATTTGCTGTTCTCGAAAAGGTTATCATTTTCTTGATCATATGCAAAAAAGCTAATAAAGCCCAAAGAGGATCCCGTCGGGGCCTCTGTGCGACTGGCTTTCTCCTGACTGGCGGGCCGGTTCACTGTGCATCTGTCTATCCATCTGTCTTTTACTCACGAGGATCAGTAGCTCTCATAAAAGTGCGTCTGCCCGCTGCCTACTTCTCTGCCTCTTCTGAGAGCGTTGTGCGTTTAACGCAGGGACAGAAACCTTCTAGCTTCTGGAGAAAAAGCCATATGGGAACATCTAGACAGACAGCAGGAGAATGGAGGCATTAAGAGATGAGGGCTGGCTCAGCAGGGTTTCCAGGCCTGGGATTTGAACCTGCCGCTTTAGCTCACCGTGCTGTCAGCAAGAGGTCTAACTAGAAGCTTTATGTGCTCATTAAACACACACCGAGGGCTTTTAAAATACCCGACTGCTCTCCATTTCCGCGGAATTCTGAAGGCTACTTTTAGTGTGCAAAGTTCTCCTAAAGCCCCGATGTACCAAGTTTGAGAAGATAAGATAAACAGCATGGAAAATGTGTTTTGAAGAAAAGTTAGGAGCGAGTCTTTGAGGGCTGCATATATAAAATAATGTAAAAAAATCAATTACAATGTGGTTTAAAGCAGAAAAAATGATCTCAAGCTTATGTGTAGAGCAGATGTTTCGTCAGTTGTTAGTACCTTTTCTTTGCGTTCTCCTCACCCTGGAATGGCGCTCTACAGATTCTCAGCCACTGAGCTGTCCCGCGTGGATGTTAGTTACCAACCGTGGTCCCTAATAGTTTTGGTACACCCAAATTGTAGTCTGCTCATAAAATGTTCCACGCACAAATTGCTCTCTCCATGACTCATTTTATACCGCATGGGTGCCAAACACACAGGATGTAGTAGTGTTGACATGGAAACACAATAAACAGACAAATAGACTCGTGTCTGTGCACCAAAGGAACAAAAAACTTATACTCAAGTCATTTAGTTCTGTCGAAAGATTTACATTTTTCCATTTAACTATTATTTTGTCAAATTTGCTTTATGTTACATGCAGTTTGAAGTAGTAAGATGTTTCTAAATAGAGAAAGTTCCTCGAGAAAATCCCAAAACCTTTGAGCTACTCACCAATCAACGCTCTTCAGCTGATCTCCGTCTCTTTGAATTTACTTCATTCCTTTATCTCTCCCTTCTTCCTCATTCAGAGTTCAGCAACATACCAAAAACCCTCCCTTTGAAATTGGGGCGGATGTGCTTAAGTCTGGCCTTCTCTGCTTCCTTTGCCTCTCTGAGCGAGCTTCTCTATCTCTGTCTCTATCCAGCTATTCCAGACATGTTTCAGGACTCAGCCCCAGCCAAATATGGGAGGAGGGCAGTAAACAAGGGAGGCAGCCTGTGCTGTCACCGGGCGTGATGCCCTACTGTACACCACTAACACACACACACACACACACACACACACAGACACACAAGCGCTGCTCCTCCTGCGAGAACACGCGCTCTTTGGTGGTGATTCTCATCTTTCAGAACTCAAGGGACTGTTATGTTCCCAGAACACGTTTAAGTTGACTTTTGGTGAAATTAGTATGAAAGATCCTGAGGATGCCGCACGAAGCCTCTGCTGACACGCCATAATGTTTGCTTGTATCACTGCGGCGGCCTTCCGACTGGTTTGACCTCCGGGTCGACAGCTGCCAAACACCACGTGGCTCTTAGTAGAGCAAAGGCAAGCCGATAAAACAGAAGGTAAACTGCGGCCACTCTTAACGTGACGCATTAAAAAAAACTCGAATGAACTACAGAAAGAAATCGCAGGCGTCGCACGTCGACGTGGTTCAAAAATACTGTTTTCATACAAAACAAAACAGCTGGGCTAAAAACTTAAAACACGATCAGCAACCGCTTGAGCGCTCGAACACTCGTAGCGAGTAGAAAATACGCCTCTCCTCACGATCCCCGCGACCCATCAGTCCATCAGTGGGAAATGCGCACGGCCTCTAAGCTGCACAATCCCGCGGACACTTTTAAGACAGACATCTTTGGTTGGGTCCTCTGAAGCGGATTTTTCCAAGTTCTGTTTTAAAACAGCGTCAGGTAGACCTGGCCGAGCCACACCTGCATCGGCACTTCAACGCCTGAGGAGGGTTATCACACACACAGAACACAGACAAGACCGGGGGTCGTAACATCTGGATTTTCCCCGATGAGTGATAAATCTCCTGCGGCGTGTAAAAATAGGCCATTCCTGCATGTCGGTGTCATTCGGTGGCATCAGTGAGGACGGTCAGCTCAAATGCTACAGATACTTTTCCCTTTTGCAACGAGCTTTTTGAACAACTCTCCTGTAATCCTCCTCAGTCTTTTTTCCAGGTTCGTCTGAACCTTCCGATTCTCGTATCCAAAGTGCCGGAGCAAAAGGCTGCAATCAGAGAAATTAGTAAACTGGCAGAGGGGCTTTTCCTGCTGAGGGCTGACAATAAAACTCTGGGGATGTGCAAAGAAATTAAATTAAATGTATTTGTGCAGAACTACAATGGCGGCCGATTCCTGACTAAACTTATGCTGAGTGCACCCCCTGTTTTCTTCTCCAGCTATATTTCATGACATTGTCATTCTGTCGCGTTCAGGTTACTTCAGAGTGACTGATTGTTTGCTGTGTTCCATACTCGTGGTTTCCCATTCACTGACTCTTCTCAGGATGACTGACGAGGCAGGAGGAGGGAGTACATGAGACAAGCCGACGAGTTTCAGATTCATGATGGGAAGGCTGCGAGTGGATGGAGGTGGGTTTGGGCATGTGGTATCTCAGGTTACAACCCCCCCCGAGACGTTGACAGCCACCGGCAGGGCGACTGACGCCCCCCTATTTCTGCAGCGGCTATTTAAAGGACTAATTGACAGAACAGGGTTGGGGGGAGGGAGGGGAGGGGGTGCCGGGCTTAGAGGGGGAGAGGCGGGTGCACAAAGAGGGATGGATCTTCTCTTCAATGCAGAGGGCATCAAAGCAATGAGATCTGGAGCGGTGGTGTGTTTTGATCTTTGGTGAATCAAAATGTTCTTTTGAGGCGCACTTTCGCTAACTCAGACAGTGAAAAGTATGAAATGAATACACCCTAAACAATATTTTGACGTCGTCATGGTGACGTGACATGTGGCAAAATTCTGTCCCATTCGTATTTACACCATTTCAAGCCCTCACGGACTCTCACAGTCAACCGCTGACCAGGTGACGTAGGTTTAGCCCCTGGGGGGTCAGGGGTCAGGGTTTGGAGTGAAGATTGGGATCGTGTGTGTGTGTGTGTGTGTGTGTGCTCACCGTCCGCGGTATCCTCGCAGCGCTGGCTGAAGCTCTCGTACGAGTCCCACCGGATCAGAGGGTCCTGGGTGTTGTAGTCCACGGAGACGCTCGGCCCGTTCTCCAGGTGGCCCAGGCCTAAGGGACACATGGCATGATGGGGACAATGACCCAAAAAGTGCAGCTATCAGTTGGGAATACATTGTTGCCAGTAGAGGAATTTTTTCAATTGAGAAAACTGTTCAGTCACAGTATGAAAATCAAAATCAACATTTTCTTGTTTTTCAGGAAAGTGGGATTACCTTTGATTTTTTCTGGTGCATATGAGAAAACAAACTCCACCTTCCCGTACTCCGGGAACCTTTCGTCTGTATGGAAACACACAGCATGAAAATGTTTATTCACTTGTAGAACAATTAGCTTGTATCACTGTTCTGTGATTGGAAACATTTTCTCCTCATGATCACAAAAGCACAGATGTTTAAAAAATGAAAAAAATGTCACACCCACCCGTAGAGCCGTTACCTTTGAAGGTATCGTCCAGCTCGCTCTTCCCAAACACCACCCCGAGGTCGTGGATGGCGCAGGTGTGGAACTGCACCCTGAACATAACGTCCCTGGTGGAGTTCCTGTACCTCTTGTGGTAACACTTCAACTAGCAGGGAGTGAGAAGGAAAACATCAGCACATGGGCCGATCTATCGGTTCTGGCGTCAGTATCAGAGGGAAGTCTTACCAGGATGTCTCCCTTCAGAAGCAGGCCCGGCTCAATAGTGATGCAGATACTCGTGCTGCTGTCTCCTTGCACATTGCTGTAATAAAAACAGTAATAACGTGTTCAAATCCGATCCCCGGCTCCGCTCTGCCCTCAAATTCAAACACACAGCCCACAAAGATTGCGTACTATATTCCTGACGTATAGACTGGCTGCATCGCCTGGTAGATCTTCAGGAAAGGACGGCAGCCTGTGAAGGAGATTTAAAACCAGGAGGATTGAAACATTTCCAAGAGGACCAGGGGGCTTTTCCCATTGGTTTCGGCAGCGGGAGAAGCTCACCTCCTTTGGACTCAAAGTTGGGTATTCCGTGCATGATGACATGATGCAGGAACAGAGGCTTGTTGTTGATTTTGATGTGTCCCGACAGAAGGCCGTTGAAGTATCTCACATACCTGAAAGCAAAGGAGAGTAAGCGTGAACACCGAGCTGCGTCTAAGTTCAACACCATACGTCGATGACTGCGACTACGCGATCCAAGCGGAATAAACCTTCGATGGAACCACCTTCATCCACGGCGGGAAATGTCAGAGCAAATAGATGCGTACCCGCCGGTCGGGGGTCCGTTGAGTTAGCGTGGTCGGGTTGTTAATGATGATTGTGATGATAGTACCTAGCGCGACCTTGACCGTGGGGTCGCCACATGCAGACGCCCCCCCAACCCACCCACCACCCGCTCCCCTTTGCTCTGCTGTCAGCTTCCAGATGGTTCAGCCTCTAATATTCAATTAGACTGAGCGGGGACGCTGCGAGAGCAGGCAGGAGTTCGCAGCGTCGTGTGAGACTTAATCGTGTTCTGTGTTTCATCAATTAATTATCCTGTATCAAAGGTTTTAGCACGAACCCTTTGAAACTACACGAGCACATAAATTAAAAAAAACTTCAGGCAGGATTAATACATATTTCATTCAGACTACTGGTTATTTTTCCTGTTGTTGCTGTTTTATCTTTGCAAAGAAATGGTTATCATAGCTATTATTGTATTGTTGTACAGTTACTTGACTTAAACAGCTCAGTTCCAACACTTTTAATCCAATCTTTTACAAGCTGTTATAGCTGCAGCTGCAGCTCCTAATCTCGATGTTAATGTCACACATTCCAGACCGCAATACTTGCAGACTCCAGGGGCAGAGATAATTATATCCCAAGCAGGAAATAGCAGCGGGTCAGAGGGCAAGCCTATAGACCTGTAAGAGAATGGCTGGCTGCCTGATTCACAAGCTGAAATGAAGTGGCGTTAAGTCCCTTGCTGTTTCCTGTGTCTCCTCATTTATTCCCTGCAACCTTTGTCCTGCTCATCTTTTCCAGCACAGATCGGGATTCCTCCCTCCGCAGAGAGACGGTGAGGGGTCGAGCCCTAAAGCAGTTAATTGTCTTTTAATGCAGAAGGGGCAGGTAATACGGTAGAAGCGGATTCAAAGAGTAAAAGGAGGACGTCTCAGAAGATACTCCCCCTAGAGGGCGCTGCATTCAAAATAAGACATTTGTCCAATTATTTTAAACCACACTTTGAGGAATTTGCACACTAATCATGAGAAGCCAACTGTCTGAAAACACTCGATGCTAAAAGTGGAGAAACAAGTTGAGGAGAATGTGCTCTGATATGCTCAGAAGACAAGAATCAACTGCCACTGAGCCCTGCGGCCTCCCCAGAGACACCAGAGGAATCCCTCAGACCGGAAGATAGACAGCTCCTCTTTACTCACAATTATCCCAATAAGAACTAAACTGGAGATTCGATTCCAAAGAGAATTTCCTCTGTAAAATGTTTACTAAGCAACAAGTGGATGAGCCAGTTTGTCTCAGTTGCAGCACTGTGTCCACGGAGAGCCGACCTCTGGCTCGAGGCAGATTCGTCTGCTGCGAGCAGAGCGGGCGAGACACCGCGGCGATGGTCAGACCCATAAAGCCTTGTGCTAGGCAAACAGGAAGTGAGGTAATAACGGACCTTATCTGTGACGGCTGGGCCGCAGGAAGTGCTTTGTCCTCGTAGAAGCGCCGCATGGAGAACCTGTCCAACGCCTGGTCAGCGCTGCATCGCACAAATTCAGACACACATTGTTAAGTAAGCTGCACATTCTTGCTACATCTCACAGAGCCGAGTGTTTAGCAATGATGATCACATCTGATTTCTTGGTGCTCCTGTCATACTGGTGAGGAGGAACCCCACTTCTTATACGTCGGAGGCCTCTGTCGATCAATCTCTCAAACTACAGCCGGTAACGACGCAGTGAGGAAGTCTGTCTACACATGTTGCGGGGGTTGGATACCTTGCGGATATGTTGCTGTAGTGCATGTAAGCGGCCACCGCCACTCCCGTCCGACCTCGGTTCCCCTGTGACACACAAACAAAGACCAAAGGACTCACTCCCACGATTCCAGGTGCATCGTACATGCGATTCCCACTGGACCGGAAGAAACACACGTTTGTCGGTGTCTGAACATTGTGCGGCGTTCCTCGCTGCTTTACCTTGTTGTGCAGCACCACTACGTTCCGCGGGTCCCCATTGAGCCACGTGTCGATGGCCTTGCACATGCTGCAGATCTTGTCGAGCGCCGGTGCATGGTTGTCTGGCCAGCCAAACTCCACAACCTAAGGGCGGGTACCGAACAAAAGGGGTTCACAATCCTCCGTCCTCGGGTTCTTTTTGGTTAAATTTCTCTATGAAGAGGAAGTCCCTCCAGAGATCGACATGTATAAATAACGGAGGTGACTGAGTGGCTTCGTACTTTGGGGTTTAAAGTTGATAAGTCACTCCTCCACTCGCTCAGGTTGAGGATCTGAAATCAGAGAGAGAACACATTTAAGTTGGCGTTGTTTGTCCCTCAAAGAAATCACACAACAATGGGCAGATGAAAAGGTTCCTCACCAGGTAGTGCTCGCCATGTTTGGACCGCAGCATCGTTGCCACCTCCTTGAGGTTGGTGGTGTAGCTGCGTTCCTCGGCGCCGGCGGGGAAGCACACAGAGATGATCCTCTCTGTGATGTAGACCAGGTCCACCTCATGGCTCTCCTCCATGGCCACACTCTGATTCCTGGAGAGGCAGCGAGAGGTGTCTATCTGAGCATTTGACCTTTTTCTCATTCGGACGGTGACTGAAAAATAACCACTTTGACTCATTTGCACAGCTGCTTGGGAGGCGAGTCCACTTGATTAAACGTAAGCTCCGACAGATCAAGCTTATGTTTCTTGGAGAGGAAAAAGGTTCACAATCCTGCAGTGATTGTTGATAAATGCAACCTGTCTCAATGGCCAGCAGCAATTAGGTTTATTGGCATGTAACACAGGTGGAGGGGGAATGAAAAAGAAAGTACATTTCAAGATCAAAATGTTTTTTCTACTGACGGAACAAAGAAGGTGCTCTACTTTCTGGTCAATCTCATCATTAATTCATTCCCCATACCATCATCATATCATCATTCCCATCGCTGAGAAAGTGTGCACATTTTCACATTTTCACTTAGCACAACAGAATATGAAAACAAAGCTGTGTCTTACCCCGGCTGCTTTGGCCGTATCTCCACACTCTTGCAGGACCTCGCAGATCCCTGCAGGGTGCACACACACACACACACACACACACACACACAGACACACACACACACACACAGGACACGTACACATAGAGGGAGGGGGGAGAGAAAGCTGATTCATAAGCAATGGGGATAACAATCCGACATAATCCATAAGGGGAAAGTCAGAAGAAGAAAGAGAAGAACTAGGTGAGTAGGGAGGAGGAGTGTGTACCCACAGAAACCCATCGTGACTCAGCACACGCTTTAATTATCCAGTCGTGCTTTTTGTGCGGAAAGACTGCGAGATGCTGTTCTGTGACAGGGCTGCAGAGGTGAGACTGCTTCTAAATATGCCGTACTGTCGAGGAATCGCTGCATGCTACGAGCCAGAGTTGGCTCTTCCTCTCAGTGCCTGAGAGGCGGCTGCCATCAAGAAGATGAAGCCATCCGAGAAGAGACGACGACAGCAGCAGGATTTGTCTTTGACCCTCGTCAGAGAGGCAGGAGACTGGGCCTGTAATCGAGGTTGAACGCATTGGCCCAGAGCCCTCTCCGCATTGCCCCCTGTCAGAGGGAGCTAAGCCCCGCCCCGAAGAGCCAAATCGGGCCGCGTGATTCTGGGTGATTTGACGGGAAGCAGATGCTCAGCGGGCCGCGGACGCTGGTGTTGGCAAAAATGAAACAGCCTGTTCGCATTGGGGCTTCGGCGGCGTTACGCCGGGACGTTCCACATCACTGGAACAATCTGTTTGTCCTGTAGCAACACGGGGTGCGTGAAAGTCAATGGAGCATGTAAAGTAGTAACCCTTAAATGGACAACTCCTTGTCCATTTAAGGGTTACTACTCCTCGTCAAAAAAAAGAAGAAAGAAAATAGTGAAAACAGTCCGGGACAAATTCCCTTTGAGTACTTTTCGTCCATTTGTAAGATATGTTGACAATAAGATATACAGAACAATACCATCCGTAATTGTTGTAGTTGAAAAAACAATTTTTGGGGATTTTCGACTTCCTGTGTGGGAGTGGCCTACCTTGCTGAACAGGTGCCCAGTGCTCCACCTCCACGATGAAGGCAGGTGGGCAAAATGCCTTCGAATGGAGCCACCCAGAGGCATAGCTACGGATGAACTGGGACCACTTCTTTCACGACTAAGAGAAGCTCCGGATCCCCGTAATATTCCAGAAAATGCTAGATTTCATCAGTATAAATAAATAAATAGATATATTGATGCCTCTTCTCTCCGTTTATTCCTCTCGACCGTCCTCTCCCTACTTTGTGCTGCTTCCTCTCTTAGTGTTCTCTGGATCTACTCCTCCCTCGGCCTCATTATCACTCATTATCTCCAACCCCCCCACCTTACTTCACTTCTCTCGTCTTGACCTCCCTTTTTCCCAAGCCCTGTGCATGTGTGGAAGTACAGTGTGTTCGTGCATCTCTGCTGCTCATGTCTTGAGCCTCAAGAATCCTGAGACTTGAAAACCACATAAGCAGTAACTCGAGAGAAACTGGAGTTTTTTCTCTGTTTTTAAATTTCTTGCACACTTTGCGCACACGCTGGAGCATTTTGACTCAAAACCACCAACGTGTCCTACATAGACTTAACAAAATAAACCCTGCACCCTTCTGTATGTACACAACACACACACACACACACACACACACACACACATTTGTGTCTATGCATGAAAATTCCTGGATTAAGTATGACGGCAGAAAATAGGGATTGCAGGCTTAAATTGGATTAAAATGTTGTTTTTGATCCATCCAATCCAGAATGTTTGGAATGAACTTGAACTGGAATGAAAGTGATTTGATGTGACGGGTTGGGATGAGGAAATGCTTTGATTAGAGGCAGCAGCCACAACATGGCTTCAGCTGAGGACGCAAACAAATAGCACTAAGTCCCTATCAAAATGTTAGTGACACGAGAAACACAGCTTCCTGTTAATGGTACATGATCGCACCATTTAGAAACCAGCATTGTCCCAGAGAGTCAAGTCCCAGACTGTACATTGATCTCCATGCACACGGACCGATCTGTGTTTATAATGTCACTCTGAATCACCGAGGCAAACTCTGCTGCCGATTCTAAACATTCACTCCGACGCAAACCCTTACTCACTGCCGCGCTGCACAGAGAAGAGAAATAACTACTTTTATCGTTTGCATAAATATTGCTTTTGGATGCACGGAAAGGCAAATGAAGACGCGGGTCTCTTGTGATCTGAAAACATTTTAAACAAGCTAACAATTTTTTTGGCCTCTGTGACCGCCGGCTTGAGTGACGTGTTTTCTCGCTGCATCAGTAGCGGTTCTCCCCTCACCTCATTTTTCTGGAGTCTCGCCCTTTTGGAAACAAACACCCTTCAATGGTTTAGCGATGTCGAGCTAAACATGCAGGCCGCGGCCCCGGCCGGGCCTTGGCAGCCATTTCTGGCACAGATGAAACACAGTTTGCAGCGAACTGGCAGCAACAGATGTCATGGTGGCTTTTCCCATTTTGTAAGGTATGCACCAAATATTTCTTTATACTGGCAGCGGGCAAAGTCATTGACCTCAGGCCACCTGGTCACGGATATAATCATGGACTTTTTTGTCTCTCGGAGCAGTAACTTTGCCAGGAATTTGAATCAGCATCACTGCGTTCAAGTTGATCCAAAGAAGTTAACGAAATCCAATTCATGGTCAATTTAAATTAACGGTGGGTCGCTTTGCTGGGATTTGAAGTCATGAGAGCCATCGTAAAAAAGAGTGGCAACAAGAGAGCTGATTAGGTAACTGTTATGTGTTGCATGCTGCTGCCACCTTCTGCAATGTGCAGGAACAGGTGGGACCATTTTTAGTTGCAATTCCTTTAAAAGATATCAATTAAATATACTGGAACACAAAAAAGGCTATAACTATTCCAGTGTCAAACTCCAAACTCAAGAATGATCCCCAGTGCACACGAGGGTTGTTTTTCCAGCTTTTTGCTGTATAACAATGGCGGCCTTTATGAGTGAGGAGCTTTAATGCACGTCTTCTTTGCAGTATCACTAATAAGGAAGAGGTGTTACTCACCGGCGTATCTACATGCTTTAATGGCAGCTGAGGAGTGGGAGGCTGGAGAGAAAAGCGAGAGAGAGTCAGTGGGTTAGTCATTGTTTCTCTCACACCAGGAAGAAACAACATGGTGAGAGAGGGAGAGAGAGAGAGAGAGAGAGAGAGAGAGGCCACAGACACAACCCTCAATCATACAAATTGAAACAAATAAAATAATATGTAATGGATAAATCTCATTTAATATTTTATTACATAAGCAGCTTATATGTTCATCATTAATCCACATTTAACTATAATGACATGTGAATCATTGTTTCATGTGTTTTTTTCTGAGGCCCTGATAACAAAGTTGTTTTGAAATTCATGGCAATAAAGAACACTTAAATTTAAATATTTTTTTCATAGACTGGCCAAACTCAACTGGACCAAGACGATTTTTATGTTTCTCTAGACCTTTTTTTAAATATGGAACAATAGACGCAAACTTAATCTTTCTTAGTTTGTTTTAAAGCGCTGTTGTTTTGAATATTTTGATATTCTCACTTGGTGTTCAAAAACATGAATTGCTGGGACCTGGTTTTAAAAATGCATGGCAACAATTGATGCATCTCATAGGAGGACAAGCCAAATTAAGAATATGTATACATTAAAAAAATACAAAAGTAATCCGGTCCATAAGTGGCAGAGGGAGGCAGAGATGCAGAAGCAGAGACAGTATGTGGGAAGTGGATAGAAAATATGTACACACACACACACACACACACACAGAGCTTGACAGTGATCCACGTGTTAAGGAAAATCTCTTAACTGAGTTAAGTGCAGCGTCTCGGGCTGATGTGAGCTCTATAAACAAAGCTGGCGACTGTTTAAAAAGCTGCTGCAGTCGCTTAAAACGCCCGGCGTCCAGAGTAAATAAGTGAAAAGTAGTCACTGCTGCTCGGAATGTTCCTAATTTCCTAATTTGGGGGTGAATCTTGGCCACCTTTTAATCGACTGCGCTGAGAAATCGGGAGAAGGATCGAGTTGCTTTCCCCGCCGGTTTTCTAATGCGACCCACCGTTTGCTGAGCTTGCGTTCTTCATGGAAGTAAAAAAAATCTCCCATTTCGAGCTCATCAAGCCTCTGTGTTTCAGTGTGTAAATCACAGTTTGTCCAATAAAGGAGTCACATCTAGAGGAAAGGAGGGGTAATCGGTTTCTGCTGCGTTTAAACAACTTACCGAAAGACGATTTCATGGTTGGTTGCTGCGTTTGACTCCACGCTATTTTATTTCTGTTTTACTCCATCAATCTGATTCACACTCCTTCCGACATTAACACGCCCACAGATCCACCGCGACCCAAAGAAACCCAACAATGTGACACTGGAGAGAGCGTGAATGCCATCGGGGCAGGATTCAATGGATGTGATGAACGCATTTTGGGTTTGCAACGACGAATGTGATTGGACATTAATCACGAGGCGGTCACATGTTGACGCATCGTCACCATCAAATCTCTCGTCGCCTCGCCAGCGGACAACTGGACACAGCCAGGGTGTCTCCGTTTGAGTCGCACAGACGGGAGGAAGCGCTCGTTTGTTGCAGCCCGTGACCTTTGACCTCCGGCAGCAGCCTCCCAGCGCTGCCTTTGTGGGGGGGGGGGGGTCGTTGCACGGTGGCGGGGATTTCAGAGGTCAAGAAGATCCATAAAAGACTTTGTCGGGGCACAAAACTCACGCTCAGACTGCACGAACGCACACAAATGCACTCACACTCACACGCACTTTTCACTCACCGGATCAGTGTTGCTCGTTATTTGACATGATGTGGTCACCTGTAAACAGAGAAACAGCAGTCGTGAGTCAAGAAATATGTTAAAGTCCGACTGAATAAAAGCTGTAACTGTAGATCACATTAAAAGAAGGGAATAATAATGATAACAAATGGCATCTACTCAAGTACTTTGTGTTTATTTTTGTAGCAACAGGGCGGGAGAGACGTGACTGTTTCCTCCTGAATGCCCGAGTATTCCCTGAATTGCCCTCCCCAGCACAGAAATAACCTCTGCTCCATGGAACAGTTTCTCTGTGTGGGAGGCAGTGAGAGGGAGGGCTTCCTGTAAAAGTCAGACAAACAATGTATGCCTCCCCACATGGTTCCCGTGTCACAAACCCTTCCTGCGATCAGATGATGGATGACGTCTGAGCAAAGATCTGTGTGACGGAGACCAAGCCCGAGAAGAGGATGGCCCGGTAACCGGCGCCGACGTCTCCCGGCAACAGTGTCACTCGTCTCCTAATTATACTATCACCTCAAAATTAGAGCGGCATTGATTTCCTGATGCCGCCGTGCTACATGTAGCAGCTCTAAATAGCCGCCCGTTTTGGAACTCGACGCTTACAGTATCCATGACGGGCAAGTGTGGCTCCTAATAGTCTGCACCGCCCCGCGCGCCGCAAATCACTGATTACGACGTGTAAACAGTGACTTCCATCAGGTTGTGTTTACGCCGGCGTGCACAGATAAACATGCACCGGGAGCCGGGTGAGTGCACGGATGTTTACGGGCGGCGAGATGGGAGCGCGCTGTCTGGAGGCAGACGCAAGCGGGAAGGAAGCCCCCCGTGATTAGTTTGCTCCGGCAAAACAAAAGACTCGCCCGACTTTGTAATGCTATCATCAGGCGTATCAGAAGGCAGCAGTGGGATAACATCTCGGCGGAGCGGATCCCAAGCCGGCGCGGGCTGGTATCAGTCCACCACTCCTCGAAAAACACGAGGCAAAGAGCCCACGCAGGGGCTTCAACAGGCTACAAAATGACCCCCGCTGGGGGCATTGCTTGGCGTTCAGCTACCAAGCTACTAATACGCAAGCCGCAATTTGAGCTGGACCCTGGAATGAGACATTTTTACTGTCATGAAATCGGACTTTATGCGTCGCAGTTCACGAAGCCTTTTGTGCAGAAAAGAATTAAGATCTAACCAAAATAAGATGACGGGTTAATTTGCGTAAGTCAGGAAAAAGGCCGACATCAGGTGGACCTTGTCCTTGTGTGGGAGAGTAGCCATTCCTTTTTGAGAAACACAACTTGGGGGGGATTTGAAGTGAATGAGTCACTAACTGTGGCTGCTGCAGGTGCTTCAGGGAAGTGACTAAAAGTCCAAATATGATGACGAGGACTCTTATGTGAACGTGGTCGCAAGAAAAGAGATTTGCATCTAGCTGAAATGCCACAGTCCTTACGAGGAATCTCACACCCACGAATGTTTTTTTTTTGCCGAAACTGCATTTGAGAGTTAATCCAGCTGCGGCGAATCGCCAGGAGCCCCCCCGGAGGCGACGGAACGGGAGGTCGGCGCACCCAGAAGCGAGCGGGCTCACGCCGGCTGCGCAACACCACCTGGGGCCCCCGGGGGCTGACGTTCATATTCAGTCGTCGCAGGGACACCTGCCTCTGTTCACAGCTGACAGGAGTCGCCGCCGTGCGCGGCGTACTGTGGCGCGCGCCTGCAAATGCCCCGGCGATTACCCCCCTCCGGTATTGATCTCAAGGTCAGAAGGGCAGAGTGATTTCTTCCAGTTGCTGCTCAGCTCACGGCCTTATGAATGCTGCTGTGGTTTTTTTTTTTTTAGGAGCGAATCTGTGCACGCTAAAAAATGCTTTTCAGGGAATACAACACCAACGCGGCTCGCAAATATTGTTATCATATTGCGTATTTAGCGAGGCAGTCACGAGAGAAGAGAGCCGGAGCAACAAGCAGGCTTCATAATCTCACATTCCTTCAAACACGTGTGGACTTAAAGTCTTCCCCGCATCGCCGTGCAACCCGGCGGCTCGGACTCCGTCCATATATGGCGGTTGCAGCTGTACGCCAGACGACATTGGGCTTCGCGTTGGTTTTTACCAGCTCGAGGGGATAAAAGCGAGAGGCTCTGCCACACGCTTCAGCACCTGTACTCCATACGGCTGTAAATATTAGTGCAGCGCTTGTGCATCCGTGAAACAATCCACTTCAAGGGCAGAAAAAAAACCCAAAACAGCCCCGTGTCTCTCTGTCTGGCAGTTTTCCACTTTTATCTTTATCTAGCTGGTGATACAAACCACAGTCAAAGTGGTTTTAGGCCTCTAAAAGATGGAGCTTCTAATCACACCGAGTCACGAGGGGCGTCTGGAAAGCCCTCCGGAAAAAGTGCCGAGGGTCCAGCGAAGCGAACCGCCGTGTGATGAGTGACCGTGCAGCAGTTCAAGCGGGACGCCGTGAACGCTTTTCTCGCCACGCTTGCACACTTCAGGCTGCAGGCTGGAACACGCATCCTCAGATCACCGGGGAGGAGCGAGACCGACCGGGGCTCGGCGGCCTTGGCGTTCTTTCTCGATTGGCTTCCATCGTCAGCACTTCAATCGTACGTTCGTTTTGTCCCCTACGACATGAGATTTAAGTGTCGCACGTAATGGAAGTTCTTGCAAAAATGTAACGATATGTTGGATGCGGGGGTTCGTCTTTTTTCTTTTGTTCCCTTTTGATGTTCATGAATCGGGAAAGCTGCCGTGTTTTGCAAAGATTTATGCCCTCTGACTTAATGATCCCGCCGGTCTTGAACTTGGTCTACTTCAGCCACACTGATGGGAGAAGGCTTGTTTCCCACTGTGCATAAATCATCTCATTGGCTCCAACAAGTAAGGCTGCCATTGGTCCAACCACAGTCGGCATTCCTCGAGCACTCCTCCTGCCCACACAAGAGCCACTGCCGCGCTGATGGCAGTTTGCCTGAGAAAGTAAATTCTTCTCTTTCCAAACGGGGGCCGAATAAGGACTGAAGCTCAAACGGCCCCTTCGGGGGGATTTATACCTCGGCCCGCGTTTCTGTTTAACTTGTAAGGCTAATAAATCCGCAGAGCGCTGTGATGGTGGAGCGGCCGTTCCTTCTCCCGCTTCGACACAATGTCGGCGTGTTGCTGGCAGCGTCTCGGGATGTCGTCAGTGGCTGGATAATGAAGCAGAATCTAAAAAGGCATGTATCTCGTTTTAAAGCATGGAAATATTTTGCTACTGAAGTGCAATCTTTCATTTTTAGACAGTCAATAATATGAATAAACACTAAACGTGTCATTTAGTCAAGGGTCTAGGCTGTTTGGCGGATCTCTAAAAATGGAAGCAAACATTTGTGAAACATGCTTCTCGGGCCGTGATGCTCCGCGAAGGTCCGTTCGCTCCCAGAAGAAACGGAAAAGGGCTGTTGCACGGACATGAAGGCTAAATAATTGTTTTTGTGAAGCGGAACACTCCTCAGCGCCACAGTAACGGGAAGTAAAGAATCCACTAAATATCCTGGATGAGCACAAAGAGGGGATTCATTTTTCACATGAGGATAAAATCACTCCCACATGGTTAACACAGCATAAACAGGCAGAGAAGGAGACTTTTCTTCTTCACTAAATGGTTCAGACAAAATAAACCACAACATAAAGGACGTTATTTGCAACGAGAAGCATCACAGTGGACCGCCGTCTCATTTCGGTTCCCTCAAAGGCCCACCGGCATCACTTCACCTCCAAACCGACATGCCGATGTCGGGTTTGAGACCCGAAGGAGCTCCGTCAGGTGGAGGAGGCCAGAGACCACTGGGGGAAGCAGATATTTGGTCACGGTCGAGCCGCGGGGAGCGGTGAGCGGGCTCTGGCTTGGCGGCTCCTACCCGTGTACGGTTACAATCACTGCGATGACCCGGACGACCAAATAGCCCATCAAAACCAGCAAATGATGAATATCAGATGTGCCATTGCGGCTCGCTCAGGACGCAAGTTGTTAAAACCTCCAAATAGGAATCGCCTCGGGGCTTGATACGAGAGGCCGCATGTCAGAACTGCTAGGTCATTTTACCGGTAGAACGCGAGATGCTCGGAGGGATTTGTGGACGTTCCTTTGCTGCAATAACACCTGATGAAAGCCACAACGTGTGAAAACAATCACCGGATGTTCAAATCTCCCGACGCTGGAGACTTGCTGTGCGTCTCTCCTCGCCAGCCTGTCACTTATTGACAGAAATAAGTTAGTGGGTAGGCTGAGCCTCTGCTAACTCAGGCCTGGCCTCTCGTGTGGTTACGTGTTAAATGCCATCCTCCCTGGTCACTACTGCTTTCATTACACAGACTTTGGAGCTGACGCGGCTGAGGGATCTTTCTGTTTGCGTGCATCTCCCCCGTAAAAGGCGACAGTTGAATGTCTTAAAATCCAATCCAAAAAGACAAATATGACATGGCAAAACAAACATATCTGCACAAACGCGTGAGAGGCATTTTCTATCTAAGTTGTCCACATTTAACCTCTTGAGGTGATTTTCCTGCGATTCATGGTGTGTTTTTTTTCAGGCTGCCGAGGCTTCCCATCTCAATGTGTCAAAAGATGAGCGGGCCTGAGGGAAGCTGGAGCATGTCGGTGAGGGATGGGAGAGAAGAGAAATACGGGGGAAAGCAGCCGCCCTTCATGTTACGAGACACCAGGGAGACATGACTTAAGGCTTCGAGGGTTTTCTCTGCGCAAGGTGGAGAAAGTGGCGAAAGGGCGCTTTGTCCTCGAGAGCTTGAGGGTCGAAGGTCCGCGTAAAGTCTGGCGCAGTCAAAAACAAGTGTCCTGTCTCGGCCCCCGTAATAAAACTGCATTCCTTCCTGTTGTGTTGCCTCTTTAGCGGGACACACGACACACACAGCCACCGCGAGCTCTCGACCCCTCATGTTTAACTGCCAACCCTGTGAAAGCTCGAGGTCAAAGGTGAGTGATTGCCGTCATCATTCTGCATCCTCTCATGAAGGCGTCAGAAAGGAAGCGCTTGAGGGAAAGGCAAAGGGGAGGCGAAGGAGACGGGACACCGTATGAGAGACGGGCAGCGGTGGAGGGGGTGGGGGGGCGTCGTCTCTCGCCACAAATCACTTCACGTCGGGTCGCGAAAACAGCAACTGGAATGAACTCTGGCGGTCCCGTTCCCACGGCAGCAGCTTAAAGCACGCGTCGAACATGCAGAGTACGGCTTTTTTAAAATGTCTCACCATTACAGCTACAAACGCACGCACAAACACACCAACAAACACTGTGAGTTCAGACGTATAAAGACCCGTTTTAAGCCACGAAAGAACCACAAATTCAAGGAACCTCTTCAGCGTGGCAACCATACAAACTACGAATGGACACAACACACTGCAAGAAAACACAAACAAGCTCCACGCTGTCTTACCTGCACACCGGTGCTCTCTCCTCTCTCCCCCTCAGCCTCGTTCCTACCTCTGCACTGCCTCGCCCCCCCCCGTCAGAGAAACAGGGAGTACCAAACACAGACAGTTTCTCCTCCTCCTCCTTCGCCTCTCTTGCTCACAACAACAGCAGTAATCCCAAAACGCGAGCCAGAGCGCTACTGCACTCTGTGTGTGTGTGTGTGTGTGTGTGTGTGTGTGGACCCGACCGGGATGCACTCTTTGTGCTGCTGGCTTTGGCTCCTCCTGGCTACTGCCAAGAAATTTTTGAAACACGCTATATAAGGCCAAGAAAGTGGCTTGAGGCTCCTTCTGATTCCGGTACCCAAAACGAGAGAGCGAAAGCCGCCCGGGGGCCGACAGTAACTGAATCCCTCTGCTCGCCCGCTCGGTCGGTTTCCCCCCCCCCACTCCCTCCTCCTCTCTCTCTCCTCCCTTCTTTCCCTCACAGCCTTCTCTGTTGACACATGCTTGACAGAGAGAGTAGAAATGGGACAGAAAGAGAAGTCTTCTTCCCTCTAGATTCAAATGTCTCCATTTTACTTTCCTAATTTGTTTAGTACATGTTGTATTAACCACGTCGTTGATGTCTTACCTCATCTATGAAACAGCCTAGAGCTTATAAATAAGAACAATATAGGAGCAGCGCAGGTTTAACAAACACCCCCCAAATCCCTCCTTTCCATAATACTCAGGAGGAAAGTATTCCCAGCGCCCCGTCGGGTTTTAAGCCCCCCCCCCGGGGGTCACCTCAGTTCTTGACCTCCAGACGAGGTCCGAGGTGAATTGGTCCATCAGTCGCCCGGCAGCAGCCGGGCCGTGAGGACGGGTTTGTCTCCGCCTCGCGACTACCGCGCTGCACCTACGTCGCCGATGGGCGTCGCTATGGAGACGCGGCGTGGCCGGCTCTTCGATGCGCCTCCGGGGGTAAACAGACCTGCCTCTGTTGAGGGTCTGCTGAGGAATGAGGAGGCTCGGCTCTCCTGAACGTGTGTGCGTCTGTCTCATCATTTTCTCTCTCCACTCTCTTGTTCTACCTTTTTCTCTTTCATGCTTGGACAGTTACTCTCTCGTTCATGCCAACATTCTTGAAGGCTCCTCACCCCCGTCTGTGTGCTTTTGGTCGTGCTTCACGCCCCTTCTACCTTCAAGAGATAAAGCAGATTAAAAGAAAATCTGTGCTTCTGTTTGGTTTCACCACTGATATCCCAATTTTTCATTTTTTCACCAGGTGGCCAAATGGTCCTTTATGATATTAAACAGATTCTGGGTTCCATTTTATAGCGGCAGTCATTTGCCGAAGCTCTAAATAAAAACGGCCTCTCCCAGTTTCCACACCAGTTAGGATGTTGATTAAAAAGCTGGACCTCAACACGTGACCTCCACATTCTCCACCGGGGATCCAGCTCGGCTCAAGTCGGGCTTAGTCGAGTTTGGAATGCGCACGAGTTCGCCTCGGAGGAAACGCAAGAGCTTTAAAGTCACGTTGTGAGAGGGAACGTCAGCCGATGCAGGTGCACACCCTCTGCGTTTCACCGAGCTTCCCTCCTTCTTCCAAGAGGCTTCTCTTTACTTTCCTGCGCATGCTGCTGCTACGTAAGCTGAGTGAGCTCGGCTTGACAGAGGGGGATTTTGCGCCGCCAGTGATGAGCCAGGGCTGTCTGTCTCCGCGGCGCAATAACATCCCCTGGATTCCAATTTTGCATGACAAAGGAACTATTGAATCTGCTAAAAATAGAAATGCAGCATGTGACTGGGGTTCCGAATCTTAATAGCTTCCAACAAAGGATGAACTTTCTTGGCTGGAGGTTTTGAGATGTATTTGCAATAAGGCATTTGATTAAAATTAAACCATTTTCATTTATGTCTTATATATTGTTTGTGTTTGTGATAAAAACACTAAAGAAAGGAAACATTTCCATAAACGATGCACCAGAGATGCAGATAGGATCGACTAGTCTAGTGTAAATGTACCATCGGGAACTGAGTCCTTTGGACTCTATAGAGCCTTGTTCTTTCTTGTGATTTTATTCTTGACTGCCACTGTGACTCACTTCCTCGTCCCGCTGTTTCACTCCTGGTGCTGCTCCCAGATCTGTGACCGTCTACAACCACAGGAAGTGCAAAAACCCTGATTACGAAAAGCACTTTGTTCTGCTCCAGCTGAGAGCGCGATAAGTAAATGGGCCGTGAGATTTTTTAAACGTACCAGTTGAAAGTAGCAGATAGGAATCCCTAAACCCTGAGAAGAACCTGGATTGAACATACGTTGATTAAACAGAACAGAATACGGGTCTTTGTGGCGCAGGGGTTAGAGAAAGGTTGGTGGTTCGATTCCAGTCCGCCCCATGTTCCATGTGGAAGTGTCCCTGAGCAAGACACCAAACCCCTAATTGCTCCCCGGGCAACAATGTGAAAAGCCATGGGTTTAAAGTGTAATGTAAGTCGCTTTGAACAAAAGCGTCTGCTAAAATCATCTTTTCTGTTTATGTTGTTCAATGTCATTCTCTTTTGTACCATAATTTAAATGCTTTATTCTCAAAGTTGTGAGATATCCTAAATGCCGCCCAGGCCCAGACATAACAAAAGGTCCTGTTCAAACTTCTCGCTCTCACTGGCCGCGTCCAACCCTTTCCCATCATTCCTCCCCCGGCCCCCCCCCCCCACAGCCAAACCTCGCCCCCGTATCTTCGATCGAGCAGCATCGCCTCCCGCAATGCTTCAGGAAGAACAACAAGGGCTTGTTTCCACGGCGACTGAGAGAGGCTGCGGCGTTGCTGCAGTGTTTAGCAGGTTGACGTTTCCCATCCTCAGTTGTCATCCAGAGATGCAGAGACCTTCTAGTGTTGTTGTGATTCCTCTGGTCGCCAGCAGAGACCAGTAACTGCAGCTTACTGTTCTCAAGAGACTTTCTGCAGAAGAGATGGTCCATGAACAGGAGTCTTTACTGTTCTGGTTACTGTCCACCAAACAAAAGTAAAGTAGAGGCAGCTGGAGATGATAAAGACAGAGCTGCGTTTACCGTTAGGTCTGCTGAACTGGTTGCCTCTTGGCATGTTGAGGGTCTAAAGCCTAAATCCACCAATGTGGAGACTTTATTGTCCCAAACGTCCACCGCCTAAAACAATAAGCGGGCCACACTGTGTCCTGTTTCTTTTAATCCGGGGAGGGGGGTCATTTCACCGAATAAAGCCAACACAAGTAAACCAATTCAGGGATCAACACGTTTGCAAATACAGATTAGGGAAATTGTGCCCAAACCGTAATCTTTTAACCAAATTACCAAACAATCAAAACATTTCATCACATCTCAGAGGCACACACTCCCCTCTGACTCCCTGTCCAATGCCTGTCACCACCAGACTGAATACCTCATCTCTGGTCATCCTAATTATTCCCCCGTTGCCACCACAAATTGGTTTTGGAGGTATGTGAGAGATGTTTTGAGAACCCGCAGCTTTTGTTCCTTCAGTGGTGTTAAGTCAAGAGGTGGTTTTGGGGATGTTTTCGGGGGGGGATGTTAAACATCTGAGTGGAAGCAGACTGGAGAGTAGAAGAGACGTTTCAACATCTCTCCGCACCAGTCAGGATTATAACCACTAAGAATAGCCTTGTAACGCTCGTCCCCATCTCATTCATTCCTCCCTTCCTTCCTTCTCATTCACCCTCCCGGTGCATCCTTCCCTTTTGCCCTGCGGATTGGGATCAAATGTGGTGGATCCGACTGAGAAGAGGCAGAACTCTGATTCACATGATTTGTTGAGAGGAAGCAGACAGCGTGGCTTTATTTCCTCTTCAGTTTTCAGCATTTTCTCATCAAACATCCTGCAGCTCAGGATATGAATGTTCCTCGTATCTGCTTCAGCAATTAAATGTGTGAAAGTGAATTATGAAATTGGTGACGTGCAATGCAAATTCATGGGCAGCACTTTTTACACCTTTGGAGTTAACAATTGCAAAATGTTGCAGCAATGAAGAACTTTGACCTGCAAGACCACAGGGATCTTTTTGCATTGCACCTCATCTGCTGTATAGGTTTTAATACAAGATGAAAACAGATATGGAAATGAGAAGTGACCAAAACTTCCAAGTAAACTATCTAAAGCAGTGTCTCGCCCGATGGTGTCACATTAAGTTGGCCATTGTCGTGGTCTCGTTGAACTGAACAAAAGTGCAGCATGAACAACAATATCAAGTAATACCTCACTAGTTATACAGAGAAAAACATGCTCAGGGTCTTACCTTCACTTCGCATTTTCTATGCAAGGACAACCGGCACGCTGAAAGAAAAGAGACAAAGTGAGGTTCATGTTTCAGAGCTGAACTGTAAAGATACACACATCGCAGCGAGTGTGTCAACATCCATTTTTCTAAGAAAAGAAGGAGAGAACTGAGAACAAAGCTCAAAGCAGCTCTTCAGCATCGCACTGATGCCCATGTCATGCTCAGGAACATGTTTGCTCAGTGGTGCTGCCCCCCAGTGGCCACATAAAGCAAACATCCATCCACTCGTTTGCAGTTTGCAGTGTGCAGCCGGTAAACACCACTGCACGCTCCCCTGAAGTACGACTTGCCAGTGTGCTTTAGAGGAGCGAAAAGCTCATGTCTTCACGAGGGCACGTCCCCCCCCCCTCCCCCCTCCCCCACCCACGCCCCTCCTCGGCAGGAATCGTCCTCGTCGTGACGTCTGGGCGGGTACGACCCTTGACCCCCACAAACACCTGCGGCCTTGCTGTCGTGCTGGGTGGTCCCCAGGTGGCGAGAGTGTTTCCGACGTGTGAGGGGGAAGTGCCGGGCGGTCCCAAGCTGTGAGGAAAACAGGCTTTGGTTGATCTAAATCTAGCCTGAACCTGTCTGATCCTGATAAACCGAAACCGATTATTTGGAGCCCTGAGTGAGCGTCAAGTGAGTGTTTGTCCATACAATTAGATAGGCAGCTGCCTATTGGATGGTTTTATTAGAGCGAGTGATTTAAAAATATCCAGAAGGCCAAAAAAATCTCAGTTGGTCAGAGGGTCTTCCTCCTGAACATCTGCACACATCTGGAGGAGTGCACATCACGTCGTCTTATTGTCCCATCTTCTCAGTCTCCTTGTATGCTCGGATGGAACAAACCAAGTTTGTGTACCAAAAGCTGCTGTTTAGTCTTCAGGAGGCCGTTTTTAGTTTTCAGCTGGATGGCTTTAAGCTTTACCCCTGGCAAGGAAGGCTTACTGCCGTCTACTGTATTTCAACAGAGGGGGGGGGTGAACAAAAGAGGGATGAAAGGGAAAGTAATTCTCCTGTGCTTGCCTTTGCACTCTTTCTCCTTTGTTTTCCATGTCGATCTCCAAATCCCCCCATACCCCAATTTCTCTCTCTTTATCCTGCCTCGCTCTGCTCGCCCGCCCCTTACCCCTCGCTCCCTGTTTCCCCTCTTATCTAGGCTAATGCAGCAGCGGCCGCATGCTAATTTTAACAGCAAATCCTCAGCCAAAGCCCCATACAGGCCCGCTCTCCTACCGCCGGGCTTCTGAGTGTCGAATGCTAAAGACTCTGCGTCTGTACTTCAAAAAACGGAGGAGGGGCGGGCTGGTGCCAGTGTGTTGGAGAGACAGAAGGGAGGACGACGAGAAAGAAAGAGAGGAAATGTGAGGCAGCCAGGGAGTCTTGTAACGTTCATTTCCCCTGGACTTTTCTTGGTGACAATAAAACCCTCAGTTCCTCGGTTTAAATGGAGGGAGGAAGAGGAGAGGAAGAGGGGAGGGACGCCGAAGCTCCAACGGCAGACACATGCGTGCACGTGTGCTGTATGCGCAGTTAAGGAAAACGAGTGAGGTGGATTCGCTGCAAAGACAAACAGACACAGATGTAGAACAACAGCTGCCAGACACATTTTACTTCATTTTGAACCGGATTTCTGTGGACTTCTAGTTTGACCTAAGAAGGAATACAAAAAAGGAGGAGAACACAAGATCCTCTGCGGAGATTCCGAGTTGAACAGGGAGCAGCGGACTCACCTTTGCATATGAGGCCCTCCTTGGTGATGGCCTGCTTGCAAATGTCACAGCTCTTGGCCTTCTTGAACGGCTTCAGCTTGAAGGTGTGTGTGTGGACGCCCTCCAGCTCGTCGGGCTGTGGGAACAAGAGGAAGCGAGCGAGATCAGGGGGGGAGTCGGTCAAATCGATGGCGGGCAGAAGCCCGTTTGGTATTTGGAGGTGATATTTTTGGTGTGTGGCTGCAGGTCGGTGGCTTGATCATTAAATAAATGGAGAATAAAATGGAAAAAAAAAAAAATGCATTTATTCATAGACCGTGAGGACACACTCTCACCTGAGACATTATTTTGTGTCACAATACACACACAGACACACACAGACAGGGTCCGCCCACCGGCAGAGGATGTTTTTCCTTTGATGTTGTCTAATTAAATTACCAATTAGTGATGAAGAGAGAGAGACTCACAACAGCCAACTACGAAAACTCGAGGAAGGATGTATGTGTATGAATATACATTTGTATGTGTGTGTGTATACTGTACTGCATCCATTGTGTGTGTGTGTGTGTGTGTGTGTTTCGCGCTGGAACATTTCTCAGAGCAGCCTGAGGACACGGCAGCTCTGCAAACTGCAGTAAAACCTGAGCAGAGCAGCGAGGAACAAAAAGCGCACGTGACTTCTGTCCACCTTTTGAGAGCCCAGATGTTGAAATGCAGATGATGAGGAAGTCTTTTATTACAACACTTTGAAAGCATCGCGACGTCACATTGTGGAGTTTCCCCCCCCATCAGCCGCGCGTTACTCGGTGTCGATTCGACTAGTTGAACCAGGAGCGCACAACATGGGGCCAAGAACGCTGTAACTGGGTCACTGGAATGTTCTTTGAAGGTGGCTGGAATCTAAAGCAGCTCAACCTCACTCTGAATACTTCATCATACAACTGGAAAAAAAATTCAGCTTCAGGTGTGAGTACTGCATCACGTCGTGCGTGTGTTTATTACGGCTTTTGTTCTAGTTGGTTCTGATTAAACGACAACAAGGAAAAGCAGCCATTTCTAGCACGTCGTTTTTTCCTCTTGTTGCTCGGCCTCAGTCGCCCTCCAGGATCTCCGCCACCTCCCGACCTGCGCTCGCTTTTCCCGGCATCCCCCTGTCCCGACAACCCCCTGAGTGAGTCCGGGTGATGCCGTCATTTCCTTTGTGTATTTGTGCAGCTGGGCCGGTCTGGGTTGGGCTCTGCTGGACAGCAAAAACAGTATTTTAAAAGACACCTTGTTCCAACTATCACCTTTAAAGGATGAATGAATGCATCCCTTCAGGAGTGAGAAGCAGAAATGTGTCCAATCCCGTGGGAGGGGAATTCCACTTGTGCACCATCGACGGCGTAAAATCCGAGAATTACTGTAAATTTGGCCTCAAACAAAATGTTCCAATTAAGATTTGCTTTTAGGAGCTGAAGTGAAATTAAACAAACGGAGAAGTTCACGAGCTGATGGTCCTCCAGCTACGCAAATATTCAGGCGGCGGGAAGCTTTTATTTTGGGGGAGCCTAAGGGACCCAGAACTCCCGTCTCTCAATCACCACCACTTCTTCCTTTAAGGCCACAACTACCACCAGAACCACTACTCCTACAACTGCAGGTGTGGTGAGGCTCCCGCCGTGTGATCCTTTGCCTCGTTGTCTTTGAGCTCGTTTTCCGCTGTCTTTCTGGAGCTCTCCGCTCTTTTCTTTTTTTTTTCTCTCCCCGTGCCGCAGTCAATTTGGCTCAAAGCTTCTACCGAAGTGTATTTCTCAGCGGTTTTCTCTGCCCTATCTCCCTGAATCTTAATGGCTTTCGTCACGCTGTGAAACCACTCGCTATTACATCCACAGAGGAATCATGGGCGACCTTGGTTGCGCCCAGACAGACACAGCGTGTTGCAACAGGTAGCGGCAAACGGACAGTATGCTACACTGATGGGTCCTTCAAAACGCTTAATTAACCGGGCGTCTTCCGTCCATCTCTTTAAAGACATGTCTCTCTCTCTCTCTCTCTCTCTCTCTCTCACCAGTTGGTCGATATGTTGAGCATCAGTTGGGTCTTTAAACGGGCCGCAGACATTTCAGCTTCATTAAAGTGAAGAGGTGTAATCTGAGATCCATCACGATTATTGGCCGAGGGACAAATGGGAGAAAAGTAAAAGACAATAAGGGGAGTATAAAAATTCACTGATGGCTGCAGGAAAAAAATCCTAAATAATAGCACAAATAGTAAACATTAAATGTGGAAACTTGGCAAATTCAAAGGATTTTTCAACCTGACCTCCAGATCTCTGCCGTGAGGCTCTGCCTGTGTTCATTAGTAGCGGTTGAAGCACCTTGTGTCACTCTACAGCCCTGATGTTATGGAACACCTGGCAGAAAGCCGCCAGCTAAACCAATCAGACACAGCCAGCTGTGCCATAGGCAGGAGCCACGGTTACCTGGCTGCCACGGCAACTGGGGTCAACGTTTCCTGTCGCACAATGATGGACGAGGTGGGATTAAGAACATAGAGGGGAACCAAAAACACGCACACACACACACATGAATATGCATGGCGACCACGGCGTGCAGAGGGGGAGCAATGCAGCATCTGGGATTCAACTCTCTTTTCCAGAGAAAGAGGGAACGGGGCCTCAGCTTAACCGGCGAGTAATCAACAGAGAGAGAAGCATGGAAATGACCCTCACAGTCAGACAGGCGGGGCCTGCTTTCAGTAACGTGTTCGTAAAGCTCGCAATTAGGCATGTAATCAGAAAGCTAGCACGCTAATGGATGCCATCAGTTTATTAACCATCCATGAAAGATTGTACTGTATGTGCTACAACACCACTGGCCTCCTGATGTTCATATCAAGAAAGATCAACATTTGCAAGGACAAGTTTTCATTTTTACCACCACTTCCAGTTCATGAAAACATTTTTGTTTGATGAACGCTTTGATAACTTTTCTGAACAAATCTGCTGATGTAAGGTTGTTTTTTTAAGTAAATATGAGCAGGGAGAAGAAAGATTAGAAACAGGAAATCTGTAGGGGGCTTGAAAGACCAGAGTTGTGGCCGTTAATAAAGAAAAACATGCCAAAAAAAACACTGAAATCTTTGAAAATATATTCAGCCAGGAAGAAAAGCCAACACAGAAAAAGGGAAGAATCCAGAGCCACTGTCGACTGTCGTTTTAGGACAAACTCCCAGGAGAGGCCGTGGAGAGAAAATGGAAAAAAGCTGGGAGATGGGTAAAGGCAGAGTGAGTGCTCTAAGAGCAAAGGATGGAGGAAGAGGAGAGTAGGTGTTTCTCTGTGTGTGTGTTTGTCCTGGCTTATAGACAGCAGACCCAGTAAATCAAGGCCCTATGCTCCTCTCCCCCAGTTGCACTTAGCTAATGAAAAGCATCACTACGCTACCTCGACCGCGACCCCTCTTAGAGCCAAGAAGTGGGAGCAGGGGGGGGGGGGTGAAAGGAAGGGAGACACCGATTAGCCCTGTCACATGTAACCCATCACAAAACATGCATTCAGTCATGCACGTACGCCTAAAGACGTAGACCTGAGCACCAGGTACCCGATTAGACTGTCGCCCAGGAATGTAGGCCAGCCTTGGTGGCTAGCCAGCAGCTAACAAAATCAACTAGAAAAAGCATTTCCTGCTGAAAATGCGTTGGAATGCAAAAAGCTGAAAGCTGCACTGAATATTTAAAAATAGCTGAAAATACAGAAAGTTGAAGGGAATTTGAATACATTTGCTGAATATTTAAAAATAGCTGAAAATACAGAAAGTTGAAGGGAATTTGTGTACATTTGCTGAATATTTAAAAATAGCTGAAAATACAGAAAGTTGAAGGGAATTTGAATACATTTGCTGAAATAAAAGATATTAGAAAAGCTGAAATTAATTTGAAATAGCTGAAAATACAGAAATGGGAGAAGCTGAAAGGAATTTCAATAGATTTGCTGAAAAAGCAGAAATGAAAACAGCTGAAATAAATGTGAAATATTGCAAAACAGAAGTTGCAGGAGCTTAAATGAATTTTAAAAAGTACAGAAATAACAAAAGCTGAGATGAATAAAAAGAGGTTTAAAATTGTTTGTAGTAATGTTAGTTGTAATTTGGGTATTAGTACCAGCAGTAGAAGTCGGTTTAGTATCAATAGCAGTAGAAACAGCTGGAATACTGATACTAGTAGCCATAGTAGTATTTTTAATAACATTAGTAGTAGTTGTATTAATAGCAGTAGAAATACTAGTATTATGGTAGTAGAAGTATCAGTTGTAGTTCTACTAGAAGTACTCAATAATTATTCGTAGTGGTTATAGTAGTATTGAAAGAGCAATCCTTATTTCAACAACACCGCTTCATGGTTTAAGGTAAAGATAATCATTGAAGCTTTTAGTTTGTAATGATGGAATGGGTGAGGGGGGGTTGGGAGACAGAATGTTTGTTATTCACACTTAAAAGTTTTTAATTAATAGGCCTCATCACAAACATTACAGTAAAAATTCCCTCCATGGGGCTTTTATTTTGAAATTATTGGATTGGGTGGGGTGGGGGGGTGTAGATAGAGGGAGGGAGGGTGAGAGGGTGAGGAAGGGAGGGGTGGTGAGGAAGAGATAGAGGGAGAGAGAGAGAGGAGGAGAAATAGACAGACATACTGACTGACTGACTGATTAACAGTGAGAAGAGGTCAGGGTGGAGGGGGGAGGGGGGGCGAGTGTCTTTATCATATTGGTCTGTTGACAGAAAGCATAGCTGGGTCATGTGACTCCACTAATCAGGTCATAGGAACGAGCAGCTGTGAGCCACAGACAGATCCTGCAGCATGTGAGTGCTCGTAACCACGACAACGGCGCACCTGTGCTCATTAACGAGCTGCTGCAAAAGTGCAGACACAGGACAGCGAGTTACACAGAATCCACACCTCAAACAAATGGGAACCACCGCAAAACTATAACAGCTATCTAAAAAATACGGTGTTTGTATGAGACCCAAGACTCTACCGAACGCGTGGATGTGCTCTTTATGTCTGTCCGGTAATAAATACGGCTCCTATGGCCGTTTACAAAACGTGTACCTTGTGGATTTTTGTGAGAAATATGTCGGCAGATTTGTATTGGAGCC